AGGTTGAAAAGGATATTGAAAACACTTCCTGAAAGCTTACAGCCTTTCAGATCATGGAGTGTGATGTAGCTATCATTCTGCAATAACAAATCTTCATGTCAACCACAGTAAAACTATATCTAACAGACTGCAGAGCATTCCATTCTTTTAAACAATTTTCTTGGGGCAATAAACCTCGGAGGATGCTTATTTCCAGGATGTTACATGCCAGCAACATAATCATCAATTAAGGAAGAGGGGTTACATTTTATCCCGATAAGGACTACTTGACCTTGACCTTGTACTTTTAGGTTTTGTTTAAAAAAATTCAGCTTATTCCAAAAAAGAAAAGATAACAGTAAAAGGGACCAGTCAACAAAGGCAAACCTCTGGTCCAATCATGTCAATTATCTGGCACAAAATATCCTCAAACAGAACAGGTTCTTGGGCCATGCATTCCATTCTATGCAATTGCTCCTCATAAAAGAACTGCAGTTCATTCCGCGTCAAAATTCCATTTCCATCCAAATCTATGCACTTGAACCTAACATGAACAATGTAGTGTCACAGCTACTACACAATTGATAGAATAACTAACTGTGTAAGGGTAAATCAAGTAGATCCCTCCATCCATCACTTAGAAAACTGAGGTTGCACATTCAATTACACTTAATTGAAGCCTTAAATATCGATCTCTGTCCCATCCCAAAGTCAAATCTGATCAAAACCTAACAAGAACAATGAATCTTCCGAACTGCCTATGAAAGCAGGACATAGTAACGGTTTTATTTAAAAAGTTTTCAGGGAAAAAGTTATCAGTACTCTACATGAAGTATAGATAACAAAGTTTCCACCTAATAATTCTTGTATACAATTATTATGCAACTGATTTCACACATCCCATCATTAATTTAATCTTTATTTTTTTCAGAAATAAATCACGATTTGTTCCTGACTAGCCTAATTCTTGTTAATGCATGGCTGACTTTAAATGAATGTTGAATCAACGAGGCTGATTCAAAAATTAATACAACAATGTGGGGAAGCCCATTTTTGCATATTCTGTAATCTTTCCATTTTTTCTGTCGAACTACCCAGCACATATGTTCCACTTGGATGTCTATCTTATATTGCTGCATTACCCATAATTACACTTGACTGCTATGTCTTGAGAAGCAAGTCACTGACTGAAAAAAGATAAGAGGTAAAGATATACCAGAACTCAAGGCTAGGCGGAGAAGATTTATCCTCCTCTGAGAGAATGAAGTTGACAAAATCTTGATATCCCATCTTTCCTTCAACCTTGCTAGTAAACTTTCTTGCGACCTGAGAAGCCAAAATAAACTCATTAAATACATAATCGAGAATGCATGCCTGTGTCAGGGAGGGGGAGAGAGAGAGAGAGAGGGAGGAAAGAGATCAAGGATTAAGCTTTTATTGAAAGAATCTTTTTTTAAAATTGGTAAACAAAAGCTTCATGACAAACCTGGGAAAATATTCTGTCAACAATCCGGTAGGTAAGTGCATGGTTACCATATCTGATCAGGTTCTCTTTATCGATCAGAAAATCATGATCTGTATCCAGCTCCCAAAACTTGCAGTATATCACATAAAAGTGCTCATAAGAGAAGTACCTGTAACAGATTATATAAGAAAAGAAAAGTTAGAACAAAAGTCACCGATCACATATCATACATAAACATGCAGTGAGGAACAAACTCTCGCAAACTATTCCAGATTGTGTGAAAGAAAATAGGCATAATGATCCCTAATTTTAATGGCCAGACCCTATAGTCTATAGTAACACAGACTAAGTCTGTATCCAGAATCTTTACCTCAAAACCTTGTTGATGTCCTCTTCTTCATCTGCATGTTGCATTGCATCAAGTTTCCACGCTTTAACTCCCTGAGTGTGAGATGACCGTTCCCAGATCTATTTATGTAGTAAAATATTCTGTATATTACAGTTTCAGCTGGACCATTTGCAATAATATCTCAAGTTAACGTGTGCATCATGTGAAAGGAATTGCTTCAATCATAACCAGAGTAAAAATGCAACACCAAAACAGCATAAGTGGGAGGAAGGGAGAGAAGAAAGGAGGGGGAGAGAGGGGGATTGGAAACTCTACAAACATATGGTATTAAGAAAAGGCTGATTGTAGGTGGAGAACAAACCATATCTTTCCTGAAACTCATGCGTGCTCTGTAAGAACTCCAACCCTGGATGAGTTGCCAAAAGTTCTCGAAGGACAGGTTTAAAGTCATCCTGTTATCAAACAGGAACAGGATTTAGATACTTGTGAATGCACCAAATGTACTAATTATAATAATCAACATTGCATTTAATGGTATGATGATTTTGTAGAGATATCAGGTTGTACACAAATTTGTAATAAACATAAAAGAGGGAAAGAAATAAAGCGAAACAAAAACCTGAGTGAGGTATTTGAGATCTGGTTGCTTTAAGATCGAATAGATCTGAGTAGCTACATCCATCGTCAACATGTTTCCACCAACCCAATAATCAATAAATGTTTCCCTACAAACAAATTAGTAGAAAAAAGTAAGAGCATGGTTTGCAAAGGAAACAGCCGAGCTTCAATAAGAGCCAAGCTTCAATAACAAGAGAATTAAAAAAGTCCAGAGGAAAGTAAAACTAAGGAACTTTCTTTGGTAAAGAAAGAACCAAAGAAACAAAACATCACTAGAGCAGGGGCCACCCAGAATTTATAGTCAGGTGAGGGTAACAATATTATTTAAACCAAGAGTTGGCTACAAATCAGCTCAGACAAAAAAAAAAAAAAAAAAAGCCTCCAGGAAAGCTACTTGACCCCTTCTCCGCAATCAACCCTTATAAAGGGCATTGGTTATCCACTTCAGACAGAAAGATTCATGCACCTTAAAGTGGGGTAATAGGGTTGGTGAACAAGAATCGAGACATTTTAAAAGTAGAGGAAAATAGTTGTGGTTACATAAGATAAACCACAGCAAGGAAAGATATTGAAAGGGGTGGGGATAACAACTTCGAAACTACACCCTTTCACAAGCAATAACAAAAAGTGAATATTACCTTGTTACAAATCCAGTGCTGTTAGCATCAATCTTTCTGAAAAGAGATGTGGAGAAGAATGAGGGCAGCTTGCAGATATCCTTAGCAACTGATTTAAATTCTGATACACCAAGGAGACAGTTAAAAGCTAATTCTAGTTGTACAACACAAACTCATATCCTAAGTATATCTCACCATGAATCTGCAGTCCGTCTGAGTTGCCAGAGAAAAACTGATTGATTCTAAATAAGCATTGATCTTTTAGTTCATTTGGAGGCGGGCGACCATTTAGAAAGTAAAACTGCAAGTGGTACAAAATCCAAGTTAGAAATAATAACCTACCTTTCCCTCTAATTAAAGAAAACCATTACAGCTAGATAGTTCTAATGACAAATACAACGCATAACAAAAGAATAAAAAATAGTGCCACCTTATTGCCGAAAAGGATTAGGATTTGTCAAACCTGAGGTATCACTTCTTTAACTGGTTCGCTAACTAATTTCAGGGGAGAACCTAAATGAGAAGGACCAATCCTCTGTTTCATAACGCGAGGGGATCCAGATGAACTTCTTGGTGACAGTGGTGGTGCACTGCCTGCTGGAAACATAGAAGGCAAAGTACTGCCTGCAGTGGCATGTGGACTAGAAGAATTTCCCTGAACATTCAGGGGCCTACCTGCCTTTGCTTCAGTTAGCAGTTGTGTCACCTGCAACCATAAAGTCGGGAAAATGAAAAAACTGTCATCCATCAGAAAAGATGAAACAATATGTAGCATGTAAATCATAGGTATCCTAATTAAAAAAATATATATAAACTTTAGCATTTCCAACAACTAATTACAAATTTGTAACTACTTTAAGGCATTAGGTAATTTCGAACATTGCTAATAATTTACAATTTTCATCCCTTTTTCCATACTGAAATATGCCCTTTAATGCTTCATTAATCGCAATGTCATCGTTTCCGAACAAATTCAATACCATGGGCAGGAAAATCAAATATTACAATAAATCAACTCAGCATCATTATTTTTAGCTCTCATAAAATCAATGCACATGGCATTCAAACACAACATCACAGATCATATCATACTATCATCTCATCATGCTATGTTTTCACAGGCTAGAACAAACACATACACATCCATGTAAATTATGTGTATCTCAAAACATACACACATGAAAAAACACAGAAATTTTTAATTCAACAGCAAAAAACCAAGCTCACCAAAATTCAAAAACCAAAAAATGCACCCATAAATCCTTCGAAACCCAACAAGATGCACAACCAAAACAATGCGAAAACACCAAAAATTTCAAATTTTGAAGACAAAATATTTGGGTTTTCAAGTACCAGGCGATTAGTATCGGGAAGCGAAAGCCACTGCTCGAATAGCGACTCGACGTAGCTCGGATTCGATTTGAGGGCCAAAGGGGACACCTCATTGAGCTGCAACAGCTCGGCGTCAAACGACGCCGCATCCACCACGATTTCCATAGTCATCGAGACGCATATACAGATCACAGAACCCTAGATTCGGAAATTCGAATCCCCCCAAAGCGCTTTCCTTTCTATTATAATATTCGTTTCAAATCAATGCCTTTTTGCCCGATTGGAAAAAAAAAGGTGAGATTTGAAGTGGAAGAAATCTCAGATCCTTGAGGAATTGGAGTGTTTGGCGAGAGAGAAAACGGGAGAGAAAGTGAGGGAAAATGAGAGAAAATCCTTCGGCGATTGATGCTCAGAGGAGGGGGAGAGAGAGAGAGAGAGAGAGAGAATAGCCATAGCAGCTCCAAAATCTTATACAAGAGAAGAAAAGTCGAAGAAGGTGGATACGTGTCAGTGTGACATTGGCCCGAAACTGGATCATCTACGGCCAGCATCATTACTTTTTCCTGCAAACTTATTTCAACAACGAATAAAAAACTTCCACGTAGTTCTTTTTTTAATTAATTTACCATTTCGTTTCAACATCATATAAATGTGTCATTTTCCCTCGGGTTTTCTTTTTCCCTCGGATTTTCTCGGGAAACAAACAGAAAATATGGAAGGAGAGGAGCTGCGTCGTTCCGAAGCAGACACGGTCGATCTTCTGAATCAATTCGAACGTAGCTTGGAATCCGATACCCAAATGTAAGTAATTCGTACTTGTATGTTAGTAGATAATCAGTGATTGCTGGTTTAGCTTCTCTGTTTTCAGTAAAGACGCAGACTTTGTGTTCGATGAAATGCCCCATAGAGTTTTGTATATATAGGTTTTATTCGTGCTTGGTTGGTGTACCTTCACAGAGTGTAATTTCCATGTCGAAAAGTACAGATATTTGATCCCGCATGAGTTGATCCATGCATATGTAAAAGTAACAGCTTGATTTTACTTGGATTTCATATTTTTTGGAAAATGTCCATTCAGTGTTAGTTCAAATTCAAAACGTTGATTCAGTGTTAGTTTATTACTGTTACTGAGTCTGGGATTTCGATAACGGTCCAAGTATGCCTTATTCTTATGCTGAAAGTTTTTGAATTGTGTGTGTAATTGTGGGTGCATTATGATTTTGTGTAGAGGTGCTCTTTTTTTTCTTTTTTTTTTTAATTTTGGAAGGGTTCTCAGTTGTGTTTTTGGAATATGTAGTAATGCCATTGTCTTAAACATTGTTCTTTCCTCTTGATTGAACCCAGAGATGAAGTGGGATTTCTTCACCCGTCCCAGTTTCCAAGCTGAATAAAGAGGCAGGCCATTCCTCACCCTCATCTGATGACAATACTGTGCTGCGCTCAGTTGATGGCAACTCAGTTTTCTGAAATAGGGATCATAAGTTGGGGATTTCAACACAAGTTCTTTTTCCGTTATATGAGGCTGCTAAGCATGTGTTTATGGCAGCAAGTAGACAATATAAGGCACTTAACAGCAAATCAGATGTATCTGGGGATGAGAAGTCTTTGTATGTGTCATTATCTTTGGATAATAGTTTTGAAAGTGACGTCATGAAGCATAGCAGGGCACTTTTGTTGCTAAGTAGTGATTTCGGCACTGCATGGCATTCCAGGTTTTCCCCCTTTTCATTTTCGGTTCAGTAGTACTTTTTCCTCTCTCTTATACTTGTTATAACATAATTGTTTTAAAATAGTAGCAGATATGCATGTGAAGCAACGGTCCTTAGTAGTGTCATGTTCTTTGGTTTCTTGATATGGAGATTCATCTATCTTCCTCTAGAGTTTTTCATGTGCAATTATTTACTATAATTATATATCAATAATTTTGGATCTTCTTGATCTTGTCTGCTTTTCAATTTATGTCATGACGCCTACTTGATCTAGTGTGTGTGACGCAGGAAGCTTGTTGTGTCACAGAAGCATAAGCTCTCAGCATTTTTGGATAAACAACATGTGTGGTTAATTGTTTTGCCATCTTTGTTGTCATTTTTATTCTTTCTATGCATGTTTTTGGTTGCAATTTAAAAACTGATGGTAAAAACTTTTGTCTTTGTATGATGATGTATGATGATGTTTCTTAATAGTGGTGGTGCCGTGCATATTCTTGGTTAAATTAATCGAGTACATCCGTAATTTGGAATAGTTCTTTTCTAAATTGGCAAGATTTTTTTCAGTCGAGGAAATTGTTGGATACTTCTGCTAATTGGATCAACGGAAGCGATAGCCAGTGATTGGTGGTATCTTTTGGCAGGATTACAAGGACTTTGTTGTGGATGGGATTCAAACAGAACCTTTCAACTTGATTAACGAGCAGAGGGAAGAAGGTTATTTTAATGCAGATGGAAAGTATATTACATATGCCATTAAAAATGAAGTCAAGGTAAACATGTTTATCATTTTTGGCAATAAGCATGATTATAATTCTTGGGTAGTTAGTGCTAGAGTGTTTATCGTACAATTAGGTTCTTGGAGGTTACTGATGATTTGCTATGCGTGTAGAGCATAAAATATTTTTTTATACTGAAGCTTTTATCTCTCTGATTAAATTCAGTTGAATTAAGTAATTCAGTCGATTACTTAATTCAGTAAAAGAGACAACCAAAGAACAACGTGGAGGTGGAGTCAAATACAAAATCATAGAATCAAAAACTAAGGTAATCTTTATGCATTTCGTTTGATTTGTTTGAATAGGATGATTTATAACTGTTTCAGTATTATGTTTCTTTGTATGCAGATTACCATATGTATTTGAGAGCACAGCTGATGTAAGTTCCTCTTTATGCCTCTATCTCTCTGTGCATCGATCTATTTTCTGTCAATTTTATTCTTCTGTTTGCATTATGTTTATCCTGAACCAAAGTTCCTAATCTTTTATTTATGAGTGTGTGTTGCTCGGTCTGACTCCTTGCAGGATTATACTTCTTGGTTGCCTGATGAAGTTCGCACTAAGTTAAATAGATTGACAAATTTAGCTTTTTATATGGAATTCTTACTGATTCCAATTCGTAATATATAGCAAGAGAAAAATCCTGGGCAAAGCTATAAAGAATAGGCACCAATTCAACAGCATGGTGGCCAAGAAAAAGGATGGCCATTCCCAAACAAACAAGACCAGAGATTGAACAGGAAAAATCATAAACACAGCAGATGTGCGGTGCCAACCTTCTAGTATGGACATATGTATATTTTCGTATTTGAACAATGAGCAGTTGAAGACTGCCAATCTCTTGATACTATGATTATTTTGAGTACATGATACTATGAACTTATGTACATGAATTAAGCGTTTATATCATCTCTATCTTTTGAACAGTGAGCAATTGGACGCTGCCAACTTTTGATAATTATGAACACTGTCAACCTCTATCTTAGGTGTAGAAATCGAGCTTTAATAAATTATGTTTTTTGTGTGTACATATTATCAAAACATTTTAAACACCGACAGCAATGCGCAGGCACCGTTGCTAGTTTTCATCTAAATCAAAATTTGGTCCAAACCAAATCAAATTTTGCAGTAGGATATTTTCAAACTAGCCCTCTTGAAGTTGTTTTATAAGTGTAGTGTACTGGACTGTGTTCCTATAAACTGAAAAATCTCTCATCATTGTGTGAACCATAAGGCACCGCGTAGAATTTGGCGTTAAAGTGGAAAAGAAAAAGCGCCTCGTAGAATTTAGGGTGTAGAACCACAAGTCAACTTACCAATACTGGAGAGGAGACTATTCTTGTGCTGGTGAGCGGCCTTGGGTTGGCTGGGGTGGGGTTTGGGATTAGCCAATTAGGAGTTAGGAATGGAATTGGACGTGGGCAATTATCTCTGCCCCAAAAAAGCAAGTATAATTATCTCTGCCGACAAGTGTACGTAAGAAACATGGAGATTTGCAAACTGATTAAAGAAAAAAAGAAAATCAATATCGCCAAACAACCTTCAATTTGCCTAAAGAAATTGAAGGCAATGGATAACTGGTCGAGCTTAGGGAAGCTGTTAATTATGGTGCTGGTGTTACTGTCCTACCACTATGCTCATCGCAATTCCGGTCTTGTCTTTGATGTCCTCATCTTCCTCCTCTGCTCCCTCGGCTTCGTCTTTCGCCAAATGAATATCTCTGTCCCCGATAAAACCTCCTCCTCCTCCTCCTCCTCACCCTCATCCTCATCGTCCTCCTCACCCTCATCCTCATCCTCCTCGTCCTCCTCGTCCTCCTCCACCTCCTCCACCTCCTCACCCTCAATCTCATCTTCATCGTCCACCTCTGCCTCCCCGTCCCTGTCCTCCTTCTCAAAAGGCTTGCTCTACGAAGTGTTCATAAGCTTCAGAGGCGAAGACACACGTAAAAACTTCACGGGCCACCTCCACGAAGCATTGACAAAGGCCGGAATCAACGCCTTTATTGACGACGAACTAAGAAGAGGAGAAGATATAACTACCGAACTTGTGCAGGCAATCCAGGGTTCTAGGATCTCTATCATCGTCTTCTCAAGACGGTACTCAGACTCCAGCTGGTGTCTCGAGGAGCTGGTTAAGGTCATGGAGTGTAGAAGAACGCTAGGGCAATTAGTTTTGCCGATATTCTATGACGTTGATCCTTCGCATGTCAGGAAACAGACCGGTAGATTTGCACAATCGTTTCTGAAACATACAGATGAAAAAAAGGTAGAGAGGTGGAGAGCTGCTCTTACTGAAGCTTCGAATTTGTCTGGCTGGGATCTCAGAAACACTTTGGACGGGTACTTACTAATTTCTTTTCTTATGAATTAAGGCTTTAACGTACCTTTGCTTATTAATTTGGAATCATGCGATTTCTTAGACCTCTGTAATAAAATCATACAATAAAGCTTAAACTGTTAAGGCTACACTAATCACAGCTGGGAAGACGCCGGCGACTAGCTGCAGAGGGAAGGGATGCTGGTTTTTTTGTTTGTGTTTCTTATTGAAATTTATATTTTAATCTTAATTGATGTTTGCTAAGTTTAAACACACCACCTCAAAAAATTGTCTTAATTAAAATCTCTAGTCATGATAAATAATTTTGTGTATTAATTAGTTCAATTTCGTTGTATAACAATCTTCGTTTTGCTTCTCAACTTGACTAATGCCAGGCATGAAGCAAAGTTTATCAGGATGATTACCAATGACGTCACTACGAAGTTGAACAACAAATACTTTGACGTAGCGCCCTATCAAGTCGGAATAGATACTCGAGTGCTAGATATCAGTAATTATTTAGGCATCGGAGATTCAGATGATGTTCGTGTGATTGGAATTTCAGGCATGGGTGGAATAGGTAAAACAACGATTGCTCAAGCCATTTATAACATATTTTATGAAAGGTTTGAAGGTAAAAGTTTCCTTGAAAAAGTGAGGGAAAAGAAACTAGAAAAATTGCAAAAACAACTTCTTTTCGATATCTTGCAAACCAAGACAAAGGTAAGCAGTGTTGTTGCAGGGACCGCCTTGGTAAGGGAAAGATTTCGACGCTTAAAGGTACTTGTCATAGTTGATGATGTAGACGATGTGAAGCAGTTACGCGAATTAGTTGGAAATTGCCACTTTTTTGGCCCGGGGAGCAGAATCATCATCACAACTAGAAACGAACGTGTGCTAAAAGAATTTGCAGTTGATAAGATATATCGGGCGAAAGTAATGGACCGAGAAGAAGCTCTTGAGCTCCTAAGTTGGCATGCTTTCAGAAGTAGTAGTTGTCCTAGTCAATATCTTGCGCTTGAAAGAGAAGTTGTCAATTACTGTGGAGGATTGCCGCTGGCTCTTGAAGTTTTAGGATCTACTCTTTTCAAACGAAGCGTAGATGAATGGAGAAGTATATTGGATGAATTGAAAATGATTCCTCGTGGAGAAATTCAGGCACAACTGAAAATAAGCTACGACGGGCTAAATGATAATTACAAGAGGCGGATATTCCTCGATATAGCTTGTTTTTTTATCGGAATGGACAAGAACGATGTCGTGCAAATCTTGGATGGTTGTGGCTTTTATTCAACAACAGGAATCGAGGTCCTCCTTAACCGGTGCCTAGTGACTATTAATAGAGAAAACAAGATTATGATGCATGATTTGCTTCGAGATATGGGCAGAGATATCGTGCATGCAGAAAATCCCGATTTTCCTGGAGAACGGAGTAGATTGTGGCATCCCGAAGATGTAAATGATGTATTGATAGACAAATCTGTAAGTACTTTCCCAATCAAACTTTATGTTAAACGTGTAAGCATATGTAAGTTAGTAATCTAACTTTTTTTCATGATAAGCCTTCTCTCATTTGGAGTCTGTTTTTTCGGATAGCAGGGAACTGAAAAAATTGAAGGTCTAGCTTTGAATTTGCCGAGTCTTGAAGAGACTAGTTTCAGTACTGAGGTGTTTAGAAATATGAAGAGACTGAGATTGCTCCAACTAAACTACGTTCGGCTCTCTGGGGGATACCAATGTCTTTCCAAAAAATTAAAATGGCTGTGCTGGCATGGATTCCCATTGGAGTTCATACCAATAGAACTGTGTCAACCAAACATAGTTGTTATCGACATGCAGTACAGCAACCTCAGACAAGTTCTTTGTGAGTATTCTGGGGTAAGTACAATGCGTAACCTGAACCAAATTAGGAATTATTTTTATGCTCTTTGTATCTTCTTTTTGGATTTAAATTTTTTATTTAAATTTGATTTTTCTTAACAGTTGCTTGATAAGTTGAAGATTCTAAATCTCAGCCACTCCCACGATCTAACACAATCGCCAGACTTTTCAAAATTCCCAAATCTTGAGAAATTGATACTCAAAGACTGTAAGAGGTTGGCTAAAGTTCACAAGTCCATCGGAGATCTTAAGAGTCTTGTGTTGGTGAATTTGAAAGACTGTGAAACGCTTAAGGCTCTTCCGAGGAGTTTCTACAAGTTGAAATCTGTTAAAACTCTTGTTCTCGATGGTTGTTCAAGATTCCAAAGTTTGGCTGAGCACTTGGGAGAAATGGCATCATTGGTCACTCTTTATGCAGATGGAACGGCCATAAAAAAACTACCACCTTCCATCGTACGACTAGAGAAGCTCGAGCGCTTATCTTTGAGTAAATTGAAGTGTTCTTTGCAGCTACCTTCCTTACTAGGTTTACGCTCTTTGACAAGTGTAATTTTGGAGGACAGCAATATAGAGGAAGTGCCTAATGATATTGGGAGTAGTCTACCTTGTTTAGTGGAGTTAAGTCTAGATGACAATAATTTTGGGAGCCTTCCAAGCCTCAGTGGCCTCTCCAAGCTTCGTATACTATCCTTAAATGGTTGCAGAAACCTTGTCGAGATTACAGATTTACCAAAAAGTTTGGGTTTCCTGCAAATGGATGACTGCTCTGCATTAGAAAGAATGCCAGATTTTTCAGGCATGTCAACAATGGTGAGTCTCTTTTCCCCGAAACTCATTGAGTTTCCAGGCTTGGATAGCGCGTTAAACTCGGGACTCCATCTTTGTATGATAACACACAACAATGTCATGGATTTCCTTCTTAAGGATAGCACGATACAGGTACTCTCTCTCTTCCACACCACTCCTCTCTCCTCCCCCATCGCAAATATGTGTGTTATGTATGTAGTACTAACACAAATGTTGTTCCACATGGTATAGGGATGGACAGGAGGTGGAACCATGAGTTTTGTAGGAAGACAAATTCCCACTTGGTTCAATCATGTCAACGAGGGTACCCAAGTCTCTTTTGAAGTGCCCAAGGAAATTGGATGTAATGCAAAAGCGTTGGCTGTGTGCCTGGCTTTTGTTCCTCGTGATTACATCAACGAGGGTACTAGTTTTTGTGTCGAACTAGGAGATCTTTTTCTCATTGAAGAGATGATTTGGCTGGCAAATTTATCGTTGTCGGAAACTGAGTTCAATTTGGGAGAAAGCGATTTGGTCCATGTTATTGCACATTGTCCGGTGAAGAAAATAGGGGTACGTTTAGTATGCGACAAACTTATGACTTTCAAAGGTTCATTATTTGATTACCATTATATCCCTTACGAACGGGCCTTAGAAGAAATTTCTACCAAAGGTGATGATTTTGATGAGGATTATGAAGATGATGATTTTGATGAGGATGATGACAACACGATGAGGATGATGAGAAGGATTTTAATGAGGAGGATGAGGAATAAGACGATGATCAGGACCAAGAAGTTGCGGATGATGATGATGAGGGTGATGATGAGGAGGAGGACCAAGACGACGACGACTATGTAAGCTAGGAAACTTTCTGGCTTAATCAGCTAGTTTGCAGATAGAGTCTGTATTTTTTTGCATGCCTTGATCTGTTTTTAATATGTTCTCTCTTTTTGAACTTTCTTGTTTCTGTGGTGGTTTTTAATATGTTCAGAGAATCCCTCTTCTTCTCATGTAGTCGCCAACTGTAAGCATCAGCGCATGCCTCCTCCCATTATTCTCTGGGACTTGGCACTCAACTATTGCTTCTATTCGCTGCTTTCTTGCCAAGAACCCTGTGGCTTTCCAAACTTCTGAAGAGCAGCCAATGATATTGGCAGCTCAAAATTATGCTTTAGATTTGACTCTCTTCCAAAATCAACAGGGGCACTCGTATCAATCAACTTCCCTACACCAGCCGCAGCTTCCAAAGCTGCTGCAGTTGCTGCTATGCCTGCCCGTACTGCTCCCACCATTGATAGTCCCAGACTTTGACCTCCCAATTCCAACCCTTACAACGCAAACCACAATTAACTCTTCCAAGAAGGGCTCCATAAACCACTTGCAAGTTTCGACCTTCGAATGGTAATCTCCTTTATAACATCAAAAGTTAGTCCCTGTGACCTTTCATCATCACTGTCAATCATTGCATCATCCCCTGATGATCCATCATCTTCACTACGAGAAGCATATCTCAACTTGCGGTGAGCCTCAGGGTCATGCAGCTTCAAACGTTTTGCTCGTAACTCATTCAATGCATCATCCTTGAAAGCTGCCCTGTCATCAGATCTGGCTGATGAACGCACCCGAGAGGATGGAAGAGGTGGAGTCTCTTTCCGGGACTGTGGGGCCTTCCCTTTGTCCCACTTTGGTTGGAAACATAGAAGGCAAAGTACTGCCTGCAGTGGCATGTGGACTAGAAGAATTTCCCTGAACATTCAGAGGCCTACCTGCCTTTGCTTCAGTTAGCAGTTGTGTCACCTGCAACCATAGAGTCGGGAAAATGAAAAAACTGTCATGCATCAGAAAAGATGAAAGATTATGTAGTATGTAAATCATAGGTATCCAGTATCCTAATTAAAAAAAATATATAAACTTTAGCATTTCCAACAACTAATTACAAATTTGTAACTACTTTAAGGCATTAGGTAATTTCGAACATTGCTAACAATTTACAATTTTCATCCCTTTTTCCATACTGAAATGTGCCCTTTAATGCTTCATTAATCGCAAAGTCATCGTTTCCGAACAAATTCAATACCATGGGCACGAAAATCAATATATACTAAAATCAACTCAGCATCATTATTTCTTAGCTCTCATGCTGGTTTCACAGGCTAGAACAAACACATATACAAATCCATGCAAATTATGTGTATCTCAAAACATACACACATGAAAAAACACAGAAATTTTTAATTCAACAGCAAAAAACCAAGCTCACCAAAATTCAAAAACCAAAAACTGCACCCATAAATCCTTCGAAACCCAACAAGATGCACAACCAAAACAATGCGAAAACACCAAAAATTTCAAATTTTGAAGACAAAAAAATTTGGGTTTTCAAGTACCAGGCGATTAGTATTGGGAAGCGAAAGCCACTGCTCGAACAGCGACTCGACGTAGCTCGGATTCGATTTGAGGGCCAAAGGGGACACCTCATTGAGCTGCAACAGCTCGGCGTCAAACGACGCCGCATCCACCACGATTTCCATAGTCATCAAGAAGCATATACAGATCACGGAACCCTAGATTCAGAAATTCTAATCCCCCCAAAGCGCTTTCCTTTCTATTATAATATTCGTTTCAAATCAATGCCTTTTTGCCCAATTGGAAAGAAAAAAAAGGTGAGATTTGAAGTGGAAGAAACCTCAGATCCTTAAGGAATTGGAGTGTTTGGCGAGAGAGAAAACGGGAGAAAGTGAGGGAAAATGATAGAAAATCCTTCGGCGATTGATGCTCAGAGAGGTAGGCCTGCAATTCCTGACACGACAGATAACCAGACACGACACGACACGAAATTAACACATGTTCGAATCGATACGATAACAAATCGGATCGTTATCGGGTAACCCGATAAGCACATGTTAAGATAACGGGTTGGTTCAGGTATATACGGTATATACGTGGGTAACACGAAACACGATAAACAGAATATTAATTTTATAATTTTATAATCCTAAAAAAAATAATATAAAAATAATATATATTAATTTAACAATTTTATACCCTAAAAACTATAATATATATATATATATATATTAAATTAACTATAATAATTATAATAATTATATATACTCGAATAATTATAGCCCCAAAATATGATGGAATATGGATGTGCATTAAGGCACGACATCAGATGATGTAGTAGGATGGGATGATTATCACATGAATACAAATGGTATATGCCTTTTGATTCTTGCCACGTGGAATGCATCAGTAGGAGATTTTGACTCCTTATGCAAGTATGGGTTTGATAAAATAAAGGACATAATTATATCTCCAAGCAAACAGTACAATTCAAATTGATTTGGGATGCGTGGTGTAAGATCCCACATCGTCCAGGGGTGTGGATCATGTAAGCCTCATATGTATATTCACATCTCTACCTAGCACGAGGCATTTTGGGAGCTCACTGGCTTCGGGTTCCGTAGGAACTCCGAAGTCAAGCGAGAATGGCTCGAGAGCAATCCTATGATGGGTCACTCACTAGGAAGTTCTCGCGTGAGTTCCCAGAAACAAAACTGTGAGGGCGTGGTCGGGGCCCAAAGCAGACAATATCGTGCTACATTGGAGTCGAGCTCGGGGTGTGGTGGAGCTCGGGCCGGATCTGACAATTTTGTATCAGAGCCAATCGCTTATTAGTTTCGGGTTCCGTAGGAACTCTGAAGTTAAGCGAGAATGGTGCAAGAGCAATCCCAAGATGGGTGACCCACTGGGAAGTTCTCGCGTAAGTTCCCATAAACAAAATCGTGAGGGGGTGGTCGGGGTCTAAAACGGACAATATCGTGCTACGGCGGAGTCGAGCCGGGGCGGGGATGTGACATGTGGCGTGTGGACGTGTGGATTGGATCAGTTTGGTTGGCAGATTCAAGTGTGGACGTGTGGCTTTTATCTTGTTTGAAAAGTCAGTCATCTAGAAGATAGGCTTTAGCCTATGCCACGAATCAGCCTCTCATTCTACGTGTGGATTTGATCAGTTTGGTCGACAAATTCAAGTGTGGACGTGTGGCTTTTATTTTGTTTGAAAAGTCAGCCATATGGAAGATAGGCTTTAGCCTATGCCACATATTAGTCTCTTAATCTACGTGTGGATTGGATCAGTTTGGTTGACAGATTCAAGTGTGGACGTATGGACGTGTGGCTTTTATCTTGTTTGAAAAGTCAGCAATCTGGAAGATAGACTTTAGCCTATGCCACATATCAGCCTCTCATTCTACGTGTGGATTTGATCAATTTGGTTGACAGATTCAAGTGTGGATATATGACTTTTATTTTGTTTGAAAAGTCAGTCATCTGGAAGATAGAGTTTAGTCTATGCCACATATAAGTCTCTCATTCTACGTGTGGATTGGATCAGTTTGGTTGACAGATTCAAGTGTAGACATGTGGCTTTGATCTTGTTTGAAAAGTCAGCAATCTGGAAGATAGGATTTAGCATATGCCACAGATTAGCCTCTCGTTCTATGTGTGGATTTGATCAATTTGGTTAACAGATTCAAGTGTGGAGGTGTGGACGTATGACTTTAATCTTGTTTGAAAAGTCAGCCATCTGGAAGATAGGCTTTAGCCTATGCCACAGATCAGCCTCTCATTCTACGTGTGGATTGGATCAGTTTGGTTGACAGATTCAAGTGTAGACATGTGGCTTTGATCTTGTTTGAAAAGTCAGCAATCTGGAAGATAGGATTTAGCATATGCCACAGATTAGCCTCTCGTTCTATGTGTGGATTTGATCAATTTGGTTAACAGATTCAAGTGTGGAGGTGTGGACGTATGACTTTAATCTTGTTTGAAAAGTCAGCCATCTGGAAGATAGGCTTTAGCCTATGCCACATATCAGCCTCTCATTCTACGTGTGGATTTGATCAGTTTGGTCGACAGATTCAAGTGTGGAAGTGTGGCTTTTATTTTGTTTGAAAAGTCAGCCATCTTGAAGATAGGCTTTAGCCTATGCCACATATTAATCTCTTATTCTACGTGTGAATTGGATCAGTTTGGTTAACAGATTCAAGTGTGGACATGTGGACGTGTGACTTTGATCTTGTTTGAAAGGTCAGCCATCTGAAAGATTGGCTTTACCCTATGCCACATATCAGCCTCTCATTCTACGTGTGGATTTGATCAAATTGGTTGACAGATTCAAGTGTGGACGTGTGGCTTTTATTTTGTTTGAAAAGTCAGCCATCTGGAAGATAGGGTTTAGCCTATGCCAAATATTAGTTTCTCATTCTACGTGTGGATTGGATCAGTTTGGTTGACAGATTCTGACACGCCCCAAGGCCTGGCAATTCCTGACACGACCCGATAACCAGGTCCGACATGACACGAAATTTACAGGTGTTCGGGTCGACACGATAACGAATCGGGTCGTTATCGGGTAACCCGATAAGCACCTGTTAAGATAACGGGTTGGTTCGGGTATACACGTGGTTAACACGATAAGCAAAATATTAATTTTATAACCCTAAAAAATACTATAATAATTATATATATTAATTCAACAATTTTATACCTCTAAAAACTATAATAATTATAATTCAGAGATCGCATACGCCAAAAATCGTAAAAAACAAACATTTAGAAATCAAGAAGCGGGACAAAACTTTTCGAAGGTTATAAACAAAAAATCACGATTTAACGGTTATTTTAACTCCGATTTTGATGATTTTTTACAGCTACACTCATTGACCCTATATTAATACAATGATTGAATTTGATCTTCAATTTAAAATATTTACACTAGTGGATACCACAAAAACTTATGTTATGCTTAATGAAAATATAAATAAACTCTAAGTGCTAGTGAATCTATCATTTTGATGGGATACGCATCCTACAAAACTAATTTCAACGATGCAACCGTCAAAATTGTTTGTATATGCTTCGAGATCGTATACGCCAAAAATCACAAAAAACAAACATTCAGAGATCAAGTAACGGGACAAAACTTTTCGACGGTTATAAACAAAAATTCACAATCTAACGGTTATTTTAACTCCGATTTTGATGATTTTTTATAGCTACACTCCTTGTCCCTATATGAATACAATGAAGGAATTCGATCTTCAATTTAAAATATTTATACAAGTAGATACCACAAAATCTTATGTTATACTTAATAAAAGGATAAATAAACTCTCAAGTGTTATTGAATATATTGTTTTGATGAGATACATATTCTACAAAACTAATTTCAATGATCAAACCGTCAAACTTGTTTGTACATGCTTCGAGATCGCATACGCCAAAAATCGTAAAAAACAAACATTCAGAGATCAAGTAACGGGACAAAACTTTTCGACGGTTATAAACGAAAAAATCACGATTTAACGGTTATTTTAACTCCGATTTTGATGATTTTTTACAGCTACACTCCTTGACCCTATATGAATACAATGATTGAATTTGATTTTCAATTTAAAATATTTACACAAGTGGATACCACAAAAACTTATGTTATGCTTAATGAAAGTATAAATAAACTTTTAAATGTTAGTGAATATATCATTTTGATGGGATACGCATCCTACGAAACTAATTTCAACGATCCAACTGTCAAAATTGTTTGTATATGCTAGATCGCATACGCCAAAAATCGCAAAAAACAAACATTCAGAGATCAAGTAACGAGACAAAACTTTTCGACGATTATAAACGAAAAATTACTATTAACGGTTATTTTAACTCCGATTTTGATGATTTTTTACAGTTACACTCATTGACCCTATATGAATACAATGAGTGAATTCAATCTTCAATTTAAAATATTTATACAAGTGGATACCACAAAAACTTATGTTATGCTTAATGAAAGTATAAATAAACTCTTAAGTATTAGTGAATCCATCGTTTTGATGAGATACGCATCCTATGAAACTAATTTCAATGATCCAACCGTCAAACTTGTTTGTATATGCTTCGAGATCGCATACGCCAAAAATTGCAAAAAGCAAACATTCAAAGATCAAGTAACAGGACAAAACTTTTCGACGATTGTCAACGCAAAATCATGATTTAACGGTTAATCTAACTCTGATTTTGATGATTTTTTTACAGCTACACTCCTTGACCCTATATGAATGCAATGAATGAATTTGATCTTCAATTTAAAATATTTACACAAGTGGATATCACAAAATCTTATGTTATACTTAATGAAAGGATAAATAAAACTCTATGTGTTCGTGAATCTATCGTTTTGATGAGATACGCATTCTATGAAACTAATTTCAACGATCCAACCGTCAAACTTGTTTGTATATGCTTCGAGATCGCACACGCCAAAAATTGCAAAAAGCAAACATTCAATGATCAAGTAACAGGACAAAACTTTTCGACGATTGTCAACGCAAAATCATGATTTAACGGTTAATTTAACTCCGATTTTGATGATTTTTTTACAGCTACACTCATTGACCCTATATGAATACAATGAATGAACTCGATATTCAATTTAAAATATTTTCACTGGTGGATACCACAAAATCTTATGTTATACTTAATGAAATGCTTCACAACCTTGAAAACAAAAACTCTTTCATTTTGCATATCCTTGCACATTTAATATTTTGTAATAGACTAGTAGTGTTTGATTGTTTTTTTTAGGGTAAATTACATAGTAGCCCCTCAGGTTTGAGGTCTATTGCAATCTTATACAACATCTTTAAAACATTTCACTTTCATACCTCAAGTACTATTTTATTTCAATTTCATACAACCGTTAGATTTTCCATCCATGGATCTGTAATGCTGACGTGGCTGCCACATATATGACACGTGGCTGCCAAATGTCTGCCACGTGGCAAATAAAATAATTTTTTTTTATTTTTTAAAAACCTGAAATTGGAAGAAGAAGAAGAAAAAAAAAAGACAGAACCTAGAAGAAGGAGGAAGAAGAAGAAAGAGGAGGAGGAGGAGGAAGAAGAAGAAGAAAAAAAAAAAAAAAAAAGGGTCCGAACCCAGAAGAAGGAGGAAGAAGAAGAAAGAGGAGGAGGAGGAGGAGGAAGAAGAAGAAGAAAAAAAAAAAGGGACCGAACCCAGAAAAAGGAGGAAGAAGAAGAAGAGAAGAAGAAAGAGGAGGAGGATGAGGAAGAAGAAGAAGAAGAAAAAGAAAGGGACCGAACCCAGAAGAAGGAGGAAGAAGAAGAAGAGAAGAAGAAAGAGGAGGGAGGAGAAAGAAGAAGAAGAAAAAAAAAGAAAAAAAAAGAAAGGGGTCCGAACCCAGAAGAAGAAGGAAGAAGAAGAAAGAGGAGGAGGAGGAGGAGGAAGAAGAAGAAGAAGAAGAAGAAAAAAAAAAAGGGGACCGAACCCAGAAAAAGAAGGAGGAAAAAGAAGAAGAGAAGAAGAAAGAGGAGGAGGATGAGGAAGAAGAAGAAGAAGAAGAAAAGAAAAAAAAAAAAAAAAAGAAAGGGACCGAACCCAGAAGAAGAAGAAGGAAGAAGAAGAAGGGAAGAAGAAAGAGGAGGAGGAGGGAGAAGAAGAAGAAGAAGAAAAAAAAAAGAAAAAAAAAAGGGTCCGAACCCAGAAGAAAAAGAAAGAGAAAGAGAAGAAGAAGAAGAAAGAGGAAAAAAAAAAAAAGGGACGGAACCCATAAGAAGAAGGAGGAAGAAGAAGAACAGAAGAAGAAAGAGGATGAGGAGGAAGAAGAAGAAGAAGGAAAAAAAAAAAAAAAGGGGTCCCAACCCAGAAGAAGAAGAAAGAGAAAGAGAAGAAGAAGAAAAAGAGAAAAAAAAAGTGGCAGATATGTTTTTTTTTTTAAATTAAAAAATTATTTTTATTTGCCACGTGGCAGACATTTGGCAGCCACGTGTCATATATGTGGCAGGCACGTCAGCATTTAACAGATCAATGGATGGAAAATCTAACGGTTGTATAAAATTGAAATAAAATAGTACTTGAGGTATGAAAGTGAAATGTTTTAAAGATGTTGTATAAGATTGCAATAGACCTCAAACCTGAGGGGCTACTATGTAATTTACCCTTTTTTTTATTATGATCTTATTTTCAAGTGTAGATGTAGTACTAAAACGATAAATGTGTTTTAATGTTTTGAAGTAATATTTAAGTGACAATGTGTGGTATGTGCAAATTTAAGAAAAAAATATATTTTTCTTAACAGGTCATAACTGGTTGGGTCATTTTACCCGTTGGGTAAAGTGACCCGACCTGTTAAGATAACAGGTGTGACACGATACGATCCGTTAAGATAATAGGTGTTACACAAAAACAACACGAACACGACAGACACGACCCGTTTGCTAGGCCTACTCAGAGAGAGAGAGAGAGAGAGAGAGAGAGAGAGAGAGAGAATAGCCATAGCAGCTCCAAAATTTTATACAAGAAAAGAAAAGTCGAAGGAAGGTGTATACGTGTTAGTGTGACATTGGCCCGAAACTGGTTCATCTGCGGCCAGCATCATTACTTTTTCCTGCAACTTATTGCAACAACGAATAAAAAACTTCCACGTAGTTATTTTTTTTAATTAATTTACCATTTTGTTCCAACATCGTATAAAGCTGTCATTTTTCCTCAGATTTCTTTTCCCTTGGATTTTCTTGGGAAACAAACAGAAAATATGGAAGGAGAGGAGCTGCGTTGTTCCGAAGCAGACACGGTCGATCTTCTGAATCAATTCGAATGTATCTTGGAATCCGATCCCCAAATGTAAGTAATTCGTACTTGTATGTTAGTAGATAATGAGTGATTGCAGGTTTAACTTCTCTGTTTTCAGTAAAGACGCAGACTTTGTGTTCGATGAAATGCCCCATAGAGTTTTGTATATATAGGTTTTATTCGTGCTTGGTTGGTGTACCTTCACAAAGTGTAATTTCCGTGTCGAAAAGTACAGATATTTGATCCCGCATGAGTTGATCCATGCATATGTAAAAGTAACAGCTTGATTTTACTTGGATTTCATATTTTTTGGAAAATGTCCATTCAGTGTTAGTTCAAATTCAAAATGTTGATTCAGTGTAAGTTCATTACTGTTACTGAGTCTGGGATTTCGATAACGGTCCAAGTATGCCTTATTCTTATGCTGAAAGTTTTTGAATTGTGTGTGTGTGTAATTGTGGGTGCGTTATGATTTTGTTTAGAGGTGTTCTTTTTTTTTTTAATTTTGGAAGGATTCTCAGTTGTGTTTTTGGAATATGTAGTAATGTCATTGTCTTAAACATTGTTCTTTCCTCTTGATTGAACCCAGAGATGAAGTGGGATTTCTTCACCCGTCCCAGTTTTCCAAGCTGAATAAAGAGGCAGGCCATTCCTCACCCTCATCTGATGACAGTACTGTGCTGCGCTCAGTTGATGGCAACTCAGTTTTTTGGAATAGGGATCATAAGTTGGGGATTTCAACACAAGTTCTTTTTCCGTTATATGAGGCTGCTAAGCATGCGTTTATGGCAGGAAGTAGACAATATAAGGCACTTAACAGCAAATCAGATGTATCTGGGGATGAGAAGTCTTTGTATGTGTCATTATCTTTGGATAATAGTTTTGAAAGTGACGTCATGAAGCATAGCAGGGCACTTTTGTTGCTAAGTAGTGATTTCGGCACTGCATGGCATTCCAGGTTTTCCCCCTTTTTCATTTTCGGTTCAGTAGTGATTTTTCCTCTCTCTTATACTTGTTATAACATCAACAACAACAACAACAACAAAGCCTTTTCCCACTAAGTGGGGTCGGCTATATGAATCCTAGAACGCTATTGCGCTCGGTTTTGTGTCATGTCCTCCGTTAGATCCAAGTACTCAAGTATTTTCTTAGGGTCTCTTCCAAAGTTTTCCTAGGTCTTCCTTTACCCCTTCGGCCCTGAACCTCTGTCCCGTAGTCACATTTTCGAACCGGAGCGTCAGTAGGCCTTCTTTGCACATGTCCAAACCACCGGAACCGATTTTCTCTCATATTTCCTTCAATTTTGGCTACTCCTACTTTACCTCGGATATCATCATTCCCAATCTTATCCTTTCTCGTGTGCCCATACATCTCACGAAGCATCCTCATCTCCGCTACACCTATTTTGTGTACATGTTGATGCTTCACCGCCCAACATTCTGTGCCATACAACATCGCTGACCTTATTTCCGTCCTATAAAATTTTCCCTTAAGCTTCAGTGGCCTACGACGGTCACACAACACGCCGGATGCACTCTTACACTTCATCCATCCAACTTGTATTCTATGGTTGAGATCTCCATATAATTCTCCGTTCTCTTGCAAGATAGATCCTAGGTAGCGAAAACGGTCACTTTTTGTGATCTTCGCTAGATTGCTCCGGTCATTAGTGTGGATAAGTATATAAATGGATAGAGATAGGAAAGCAAACACAAGATGTACGTGGTTCACCCAGATTGGCTACGTCCACGGAATAGAGGAGTTCTCATTAATTGTGAAGGGTTTACACAAGTACATAGGTTCAAGCTCTCCTTTAGTGAGTACAAGTGAATGATTTAGTACAAATGACATTAGGAAATATTGTGGGAGAATTATCTCGTAACCACGAAACTTCTAAGTACCGGAGTGTGGTATCGTCTTGACTTGCCTTATCTGTCTCATAGGTAGATGTGGCATCTTCTCTGGAAGTACTCTTCCTCCATCCAGGGGTGATATCTGTAACTGGTGGAGATGCACAAGGTAATGTATCAATTTCACTTGAAGCTTACTTGTAGTTTCAGGCTTGGTCAAGCGCGATACAAACCATGTAGTAAGAGTCCCCCAAGTCGCCGAGCTAGGGGATCTGCTGAAAGTGACAGACAAGGTAAGCAATCAAAGCTCCTGCTGATTGTTCACATTCTCCCTATCTTGCAGGCAGTATGAAGGATAAAGAGAAGAAAAATGAGAAGAGATGATATGGGATACTTTTGCTTTTGAAGAAGTAACTTTCCACAGGCTTATTCTTGAACTGGGCTGGAGGGTTTTCTAGTTTCCTCCAGAGTATAAGGTCGACTGAAGAATTTGAGGGTCAAAACAAGTCCATCAAATCTAGAGTACGTTCGACCCTGCTGATATGGGATACTTTTGCTTTCGACAGAGTAGTGGATGTATCGGCACGTGTGCTGTTACGCTTGTCTCCACATGCTTCCTTGTATCCTTCTCACTTGCCCTATCTGTTCCTCAGGCAGATGCGGTATCTTCCCTGGAAGCATAAGATGTTGAAGATGAGAACTCGAAAGCAATGCCAGGTAAGTAATCAGGTAAGGGGTTCCAGGCAGTCAGTTCCTGGCTGGAAGCTTGATTCCAAGTGCTGACTGATTGCTCTCTTTCTCCTTGTCTTGCAGGTAAGAACAAGGCCAAAGGAAAAGACAGGGAAAAAGCATGATATGGGATACTCTTGCTTTTAACCCTGATGATATGAGATATTCTTGCTCTAGTATAGCTTGTTTACAGAGGTATTATCGGGGGGGGGGAAAGAAAGCTGAATATTTCGAAAGGCTTCGTTGGGAGTGCCCTCTCAGATAAGAGGGAGGGTTGAGCATTTTTGCAGGTCTGCCTGTCCGTTGGGGATGAAGGTCGACATATATAGGAGTCTCCTTAACATCAAGTAATAATGCTATTCCTTTACCCTGCTTGGTCATAGCACGGTAGTGGGAGCTGCAAGCTTCACATGTTTTAACTATGTCAGAGCGTTTTGAAAAAGTGGTCTGTGGTATCTGGAAAGCTGATGTTGCATGTGAAGATTACAGACAAGCTTTATCCAAGGAGATCCAGCTCTTGAAGTTGGGAAAGTGGTGCCTCTTCGGTTTTCGAACAAGCAATCCTGTCGGGGATCTGGCTCTCGAGATTCGGAGAACGATGCCTCTTCGATTTTTGAGAAAGCAATCCTGCTGGGGGTCTGGCTCTCGGGATTCGAAAAGCGGTGTCTCTTCGATTTTTGAGAAAGTAATCATGTTGGGAGTTTGGCTCTCGAGATTCGGAGGGCGGTGCCTCTTCGATTTTGGAGCAAGCAATCTTGTTGGGAGTGTTTTCTCGAATGTGAGTAAAGGTTGGGCATGTTTGCTAGTCTACCTTGCCACGAAGCACAGAGGTTGACACACAGGGACTTTCCAATTATCCAGCAGTGGTACTGTTCCTTTACCCTCTCTTCGATTTTTGAGAAAGTAATCATGTTGGGAGTCTAGCTCTCAAGATTCGGAGGGCGGTGCCTCTTCGATTTTGGAGCAAGCAATCTTGTTGGGAGTATTTTCTCGAATGTGAGTAAAGGTTGGGCATGTTTGCTAGTCTACCTTGCCACGAAGCACAGAGGTTGACACACAAGGACTTTCCAATTATCCAGCAGTGGTACTGTTCCTTTACCCTTTCTTCGATTTTTGAGAAAGTAATCATGTTGGGAGTCTGGCTCTTGAGATTCGGAGGGCGGTGCCTCTTCGATTTTGGAGCAAGCAATCTTGTTGGGAGTGTTTTCTCGAATGTGAGTAAAGGTTGGGCAAGTTTGCTAGTCTACCTTGCCACGAAGCACAGAGGTTGACACATCGGGACTTTCCAATTATCCAGCAGTGGTACTGTTCCTTTACCCTTGTGGGTAATAATATGGTAGCTAGACCTTCAAAATTTATGTGTAAACTTTGTTAGTGTTGTTTCTTTGCTATTCTTTTACCCTTCTTGGTCAGAGCGATGTAGTGGGAGCTGCAAGCTTCACGTGTCTCAACTTTGTCAGAGAACTTTGGCAAAGTTATCTGTGGTACCCATGAGCTACTGTTGCGTGTGAGAAGTGGGTGATTGAACAGTACGATTCATGTGCTTTCTACTTCGCCAGAAATCTTCGACAGAATGCCCATAATTTCCGCAAAGCTGAGTGTGCGTGTGACAGGTGCTGACAAGGCTGGAAAAGTAGGTGCCTCTTCGATTTCTGAGATCGACCCTCGTGGTCTCTGAGCAGCCCAACTTTTGAGAAAGCAAGCCTCTTCGATTTCTGAGATCGGTCTTCGTGGTCTTTGAGCAGCCCAGCTTTTGAGAAAGCAAACGCCTCTTCGATTTCTGAGATCGACCCTCGTGGTCTCTGAGCAGCCCAGCTTTTGAGAAAGCAAACACCTCTTCGATTTCTGAGCAGGCGCCTCTTCGATTTCTGAAGCTTCGTCGAGTGCAAATTTTTATAGGGGCTGACATTAAGTTCCAAAGCACACTTGAATATCCACCAGTAGAAGCTCCATTCTTGCACTTCTAAGATCTTGATTTGTCCGAACTCTTCTCTCTTCAACACCTTTGAAAATGTCTGGCCCCTCCGACCGTCGTTTTGACTTGAACCTTTTTTAAGAGGCAGCCCCGCCTTCACCAGACAATATATGGCGCCCATCCTTCGTCTCCCCTACTGGTCCTCTTACCGTTAGGGATTCCGTGATGAAGAATGATATGTCCGCTGCGGTAGTGGCCAGGAACCTTCTCACTCCCAAAGATAACAGACTACTTTCCAAACGGTCTGATGAGTTGGCTGTTAAGGATTCTCTGGCTCTCAGTGTTCAGTGTGCAGGTTCTGTATCTAATATGGCCCAACGCCTATTTGCTTGAACCCGCCAGGTTGAATCATTGGCGGCTGAAGTGATGAGTCTCAAACAGGAGATTAGAGGGCTCAAGCATGAGAATAAACAGTTGCACCGGCTCGCACATGACTATGCTACAAACATGAAGAGGAAGCTTGACCAAATGAAGGAATCTGATGGTCAGGTTTTACTTGATCATCAGAGATTTGTGGGTTTGTTCCAAAGGCATTTATTGCCTTCGTCTTCTGGGGCTGTACCGCGTAATAAAACTCCAAATGATCAACCTCTGATGCCTCATCCTTCTAGGGTTCTGTCCAGTACTGAGGCTCCGAATGATCCACCTCCGGTGCCTTCTTTTTCTGGGGCTCTGCCGACTGCTGAGACTTCTCCTAAGCAACCTTTGTGAAGGCTCCCTCTTGTTTGTTTATTTTGACTCAAGTATATGTACATATTTGTAACTTATCGGGGATATCAATAAATAAGTTTTCCTTCATTTCAACGTATTGTGTTAAATACACCAAAGCCTTCTTCGCTAAGTTCTTTGAATTTTCTTTTGTTGAAGCTTGTATGTTGAAGCTTTGTGAATGGAGCATGTAGGTTGAGGTAGTGTTCCCTTAATTTCCCGAGTGAGGAAAACTTCTCGGTTGGAGACTTGGAAAATCCAAGTCACTGAGTGGGATCGGCTATATGAATCTTAGAACGCCATTGTGTTATGTCCTGTGTCATGTCCTCCATTAGATCCAAGTACTCTAAGTCTTTTCTTAGGGTCTTCCAAAGTTTTCCTAGGTCTTCCTCTACCCCTTCGGCCCTGAACCTCTGTCCCATAGTCGCATCTTCTAATTGGAGCGTCAGTAGGCCTTCTTTGCACATGTCCAAACCACCGTAACCGATTTTCTCTCATCTTTCCTTCAATTTCGGCTACTCCTACTTTACCCCGGATATTCTCATTCCTAATCTTATCCTTTCTTGTGTGCCCACACATCCAATGAAGCATCCTCATCTCCGCTACACCCATTTTGTGTACGTGTTGATGCTTCACCGCCCAACATTCTGTGCCATACAGCATCGCCGGCCTTATTGCCGTCCTATAAAATTTTCCCTTGAGCTTCAGTGGCATACGGCGGTCACACAACACGCCGGATGCACTCTTCCACTTCATCCATCCAGCTTGTATTCTATGGTTGAGATCTCCGTCTAATTCTCCGTTCTTTTGCAAGATAGATCCTAGGTAACAAAAACGGTCGCTCTTTGGTATTTCTTGATCTCCGATCCTCACCCCTAACTCGTTTTGGCCTCCATTTGCACTGAACTTGCACTCCATATATTTTGTCTTTGATCGGTTTAGGCGAAGACCTTTAGATTCCAACACTTCTCTCCAAAGGTTAAGCTTTGCATTTACCCCTTCCTGAGTTTCATCTATCAACACTATATCGTCTGCGAAAAGCATACACCAAGGAATATCATCTTGAATATGTCCTGTTAACTCATCCATTACCAACGCAAAAAGGTAAGGACTTAATGATGAGCCTTGATGTAATCCTACAGTTATGGGAAAGCTTTCGGTTTGTCCTTCATGAGTTCTTACGGCAGTTTTTGCTCCTTCATACATATCCTGTATAGCTTGGATATATGCTACTCGTACTCCTTTCTTCTCTAAAATCCTCCAAAGAATGTCTCTTGGGACCCTATCATACGCATTTTCCAAATCTATAAAGACCATGTGTAAATCATTTTTCCCATCTCTATATCTTTCCATCAATCTTCGTAAGAGATAGATTGCCTCCATGGTTGAGCGCCCTGGCATGAACCCGAATTGGTTGTCCGAAACCCGTGTCTCTTGCCTCAATCTATGCTCAATGACTCTCTCCCAGAGCTTCATTGTATGACTCATTAGCTTAATACCCCTATAGTTCATGCAATTTTGTACATCACCCTTATTCTTGTAGATAGGCACCAAAGTGCTCGTTCGCCACTCATTTGGCATCTTCTTCGTTTTCAAAATCCTATTGAAAAGGTCAGTGAGCCATGTTATACCTGTCTCTCCCAAAACTTTCCACACTTCGATTGGTATATCGTCTGGGCCTACTGCTTTTCTATGCTTCATCTTCTTCAAAGCAACAACCACTTCTTCCTTCCGGATTCTACGATAAAAAGAGTAGTTTCTACACTCTTCTGAGTTACTCAACTCCCCTAAAGAAGCACTCCTTTCATGTCCTTCATTGAAAAGATTATGAAAATAACCTTTCCATCTGTCTTTAACCGCGTTCTCTGTAGCAAGAACATTTCCATCCTCATCCTTGATGCACCTCACTTGGTTTAGGTCCCTTGTCTTCTTTTCCCTTACTCTAGCTAGTTTATAGATATCCAACTCTCCTTCTTTGGTATCTAGTCGCTTATACATATCGTCATAAGCCACTAACTTAGCTTCTCTCACAGCTTTCTTCGCCTCATGCTTCGCTTTTCTATACCTTTCACCATTTTCATCGGTCCTATCCTTGTAGAAGGCTTTACAACATTCCTTCTTAGCCTTCACCTTTGTTTGTACCTCCTCATTCTACCACCAAGATTCCTTTTGGTGTGGGGCAAAACCCTTGGACTCTCCTAATACCTCTTTTGCTACTTTTCGGATACAACTAGCCATGGAATCCCACATTTGGTTAGCTTCCCCCTCTCTATCCCACACATACTGGGTGATTACTTTCTCTTTGAAAATGGCTTGTTTTTCTTCTTTTAGATTCCACCATCTAGTCCTTGGGCACTTCCAAGTCTTGTTCTTTTTTCTCACTCTTTTGATATGTACATCCATCACCAACAAGCGATGTTGATTAGCCACGCTCTCTCCTGGTATAACTTTGCAATCCTTACAAGTTATACGATCCCCTTTCCTCATTAGAAGAAAATCTATTTGTGTTTTTGACGACCCACTCTTGTAGGTGATCACATGTTCTTCTCTCTTCTTAAAGAAGGTGTTGGCTAAGAAGAGATCATATGCCATTGCAAAATCCAAGATAGCTTCCCCATCCTCGTTTCTCTCCCCAAAACCATGGCCACCATGAAAACCTCCATAGTTGCCTGTCTCCCTGCCCACGTGTCCATTTAAATCTCCTCCTATAAATAACTTCTCCGTCTGAGCAATTCCTTGCACCAAGTCTCCAAGGTCTTCCCAAAATTTCTCCTTCGAACTCGTATCCAACCCTACTTGAGGTGCGTACGCACTAATCACATTGATAAGTTCTTGTCCTATTTACAATCTTGATTGCCATGATTCTATCTCCTACCCTCTTGACATCTACAACATCTTGTGTCAAGGTCTTGTCCACGATGATGCCAACACCGTTTCTCGTTCTATTTGTGCCCGAATACCATAGTTTAAACCCTGAGTTTTCTAGATCCTTTGCCTTACGACCAACCCACTTAGTTTCTTGTAGGCACATAATATTTATCCTTCTCCTCACCATAACTTCTACTACTTCCATAGATTTTCCCGTCAAGGTTCCTATATTCCACGTTCCTAAACGCATTTTGCTCTCTTGAACTCTACCCTTCTGTCCTAGCTTCTTCACCCTTCCCCGTCTAATAGGATCAAAGTACTTCTTTTGTGTCTCCCGTGTAAAGTTGATAGGAGCATATGCTCCCAAACAACTTTGAGTGGAGTCGTTCGAAAAGAAGTTTCTATAGCCCCCTTGCTCATTTAACACTGCATCCGGGTGCCGATGGAGATACAGTGACCCTTGCTCACTTATCACTGTGCTCGGGCCACACAGCGTGCCACTTACGGGTGACGCCCTAGCTTTAGCGCGATTTCGTTCTGGATTCATTTTCATAAGGATTCGACGTAATCATGGAGTGCCGGCTGTCGACTACCTGACGCCCTCCCCCTCCTCCTTTATCCGGGCTTGGGACCGGCAATGTAAGATAAACTTACACGGCGGAGTTATACTTGTTATAACATAATTGTTTAAAATAGTAGCAGATATGCATGTGAAGCAACAGTCCTTAGTAGTGTCATGTTCTTTGGTTTCTTGATATGGAGATTCATCTATCTTCCTCTAGAGTTTTTCATGTGCAATTATTTACTATAATTATATGTCAATAATTTTGGATCTTCTTGATCTTGTCTGCTTTTCAATTTATGTCATGACGCCTACTTGATCTAGTGTATGTGACGCAGGAAGCTTGTTGTGTCACAGAAGCATAAGCTCTCAGCATTTTTGGATAAACAACATGTGTGGTTAATTGTTTTGCCATCTTTGTTGTCATTTTTATTCTTTCTATGCATGTTTTGGTTGCAATTTAAAAACTGATGGTAAAAACTTTTGTCTTTGTATGATGATGTTTCTTAATAGTGGTGGTGCCGTGCATATTCTTGGTTAAATTAATCGAGTACATCCGTAATTTGGAATAGTTCTTTTCTAAATTGGCAAGATTTTTTTCAGTCGAGGAAATTGTTGGATACTTCTGCTAATTGGATCAACGGAAGCGATAGCCAGTGATTGGTGGTATCTTTTGGCAGGATTACAAGGACTTTGTTGTGGATGGGATTCAAACAGAACCTTTCAACTTGATTAACGAGCAGAGGGAAGAAGGTTATTTTAATGCAGATGGAAAGTATATTACATATGCCATTAAAAATGAAGTCAAGGTAAACATGTTTATCATTTTTGGCAATAAGCATGATTATAATTCTTGGGTAGTTAATGCTAGAGTGTTTATCGTACAATTAGGTTCTTGGAGGTTACTGATGATTTGCTACGCGTGTAGAGCATAAAATATTTTTTTATACAGAAGCTTTCATCTCTCTGATTAAATTCAGTTGAATTAAGTAATTCAGTCGATTACTTAATTCAGTAAAAGAGACAACCAAAGAACAACGTGGAGGTGGAGTCAAATACAAAATCATAGAATCAAAAACTAAGGTAATCTTTATGCATTTCGTTTGATTTGTTTGAATAGGATGATTTATAACTGTTTCAGTATTATGTTTCTTCGTATGCAGATTACCATATGTATTTGAGAGCACAGCTGATGTAAGTTCTCTCTTTATGCCTCTATCTCTCTGTGCATCGATCTGTTTTCTGGCAATTTTATTCTTCTGTATGCATTATGTTTATCCTGAACCAAAGGTTCCTAATCTTTTATTTATGAGTGTGTGTTGCTCGGTCTCCAATGATTATTTATATTTTCCGGGGGTATAATGGGAGGAAAAATCCATTCAACCTCCACCAAATTGTAGGGAATCCAATTAAGATGCTTAAGTATTTTTTTCAGCATGATAAATGTTTAAGGTTAAGCTTTGAAAATTGCAGATTTATAAACTATGAGTAGAGTTTCCGGGCAATATAGTCATTTCTTAATGGGCAATGAATAATTAAGGTTTGAAATCGAAAAGTAGATTGCAAATGTCGTTCATGATGAAAAACCTACAGGAACATTACTTCTTAGCATATGTGAAACATGTGTGAATTTTAATCACAAAGTGCAGTTGTACTCGAAACTGAGAGAGTGGCGTTTAATTGTTCTCCTATGGGATGTGGTTGATCTTACCCTTTATATGTTTAATATTATATATACTTAGTTGAGTTATTTTTTCCTTTTGGGATTCAGGGCCATACACTATTGATCCCTCAAATTTTTCGCCATGAAGCAAAATGTGGTGACTCATGCACAACTGACTCCTTTTCAATAGAAAGGAATAGCCAAACTAACCCAGCTGGGAAATAACGTTCACCAATCACTGTCTTGGCACTTTTACTAAAGTGAATACATTGTTGTTCATTCTGGCCGTCTTTCCAAGATCAAGCCCCTTGCTTAGTTGGATAAAGTTTGCATCCTCAGTTGTGCCGTATCGACAGGTTTGGATTTTTGGATGCCCCTCTCATGTAGCAAAACGAAAAATTATCTTTAGTTGTTGTTTATTAGCCTCACTGTAAGTTTGGACAAACTTTGTTGATCCCATATTCTTTATTCTAATAAATTGCATTTATTTTCTCTTCCATATTCATACTGATACATGCATGATCTTGGCTACTGAACGTGCAAGATTTCTGGGGCGCCACTGAGTATTGGGGTGGAGTCGGTGGACTTGAATCCCAAGAGGTTTGACAAAGGTATTATAATTTTTTTCCCGTTTTGATTTACCATGGTTTAACAGGTAGTTTAGTGGGACAACCTAGAAATAGATTTTTGCTTATTACATTCTTTCCCTGGTGATAACTAAGAAATTCGGAGTAAATGGATTTGTGAATTCGAATGACAATGACAAACCAGTGCACGAGATGAAAAATGATTCACTATTCTTATTATGCGTGGGACATGAATCAACATAGATAGTTAAGTGGTAACTTTGACTTTATATTTTTATTTCCTTTCTACTTTTCATCTACCCAAGTCTACAATGCACATGCGACTAAGGAAAAGACCGAGACATCAACCAGTGCAGAAGCTCCTGATAGGACTAATTGCAGACAACTCTGAAACTACCTCTTCTATTCAAACGTGGAGGAGAGAAACTCCCCCACGTTTGATGCAAAGTAGTTCGTCTCAAATTGCAGCTTCCTCGGTTTCTCAAATCTCAACGATCAATCTGCAGTGTCCCTCAAGCAGTTTCTCTCAAACTCGTACGATTTGCATTTTGTTTCTCTCCCTACACTCTCATCAACACTATCACTGCTCTCTCAGATGAGCACTACAAATTTAAGCCTGATGCTGGTATGTGATTTCCACTCCATCTCATCTCTCTTTTCAAATTTTACGGTAATTTTCAAACCTTTTGTACAATCAGGTAAATCTCCATATAATTGAATAATAGAGATTTTTTTTTGTCCCTCTTTTTTAGCTCCTTCATCAATTCATTGGCTTTGACGTTTGACTTGAGTAAATGGGAAATCATTAATTGGTATGGATCAAGATATATTTCTTTTGTGTTTTCGATAATTTAAAGGGATGTGCAAATAGATGGGAACAGTAGAATTCATTTTGATCAAAAAAAAAAAAAGAGAAAATAACCTTGCTGGATTATACTTGGTTGTTTGACGAAGTTCGCACTAAGTTAAATAGATTGACAAATTTAGTTTTTTATATGGAATTCTTACTGATTCCAATTCGTAATATATATCAAGAGAAAAATAATGGGCAAAGCAAAAAAGAATAGGCACCAATTCAACAGCATGGTGGCCAAGAAAAAGGGTGGCCATTCCCAAACAAGCAAGACCAGAGATTGAACAGGAAAAATCATAAACACAGCAGATGTGCGGAGCCAACCTTTTGATATGGACATATGTATATTTTCGTATTTGAACGATGAGCAGTTGAAAACTGCCAATCTTTTGATACTATGATTATTTTGAGTACATGATACTATGAACTTATGTAGATGAAATAAGCTTTTATAGCATCTCTATCTTTTGAACAGTGAGCAATTGGACACTGCCAACTTTTGATAATTATGAAAACTGTCAACCTTTATCTTAGGTATAGAAATCTAGCTTTAATAAATTATGTTTTCTATATTTATATATTATCAAAACATTTTAAACATCCGCAGCAACGCGCAGGCACTGTTACTAGTTTTCATCTAAATCAAAATTTGGTCCAAACCAAATCAAATTTCGCGGTAGGATATTTTCAAACTAGCCCTCTTGAAGTTGTTTTATAAGTGGTGTACAGTGTACTGGACTGTGTTCCTATAAACTGAAAAGTATCTCATCATTGTGTGAACCAGAAAACACTGCGTAGAATTTGGCGATAAGGTGGAAAAAAAGGGTGCCTCCTGGAATTTAGGGTGTAGGACCACAAGTCAATTTACCGTGTCTAATTTGGCTTTATAGTGGAAGAAAAAGAGCACCTCGTAGAATTTAGGGTGTAGGACCATAAGTCAATTTACCAATACTCAAGTCTACAGTCAACTGCGCCGCCTAGGCGGGTTGATTAATTATAAGAAGAAGAAAGTAGTTCCGGTAGAAAAAATGAAAATCAATATCGCCAAAAAACCTTCAATTTGCCTAAAGAAATTGAAGGCAATGGATAACTGGTTGAGCTTAGGGAAGCTGTTAATTATGGTGCTGGTGTTACTGTCCTACCACTATGCACATCGCAATTCCGGTCTTGTTTTTGATGTCCTCATCTTCCTCCTCTGCTCCCTCGGCCTCGTCTTTCGCCAAATGAATATCTCCGTCCCCGATAAAACCTCGTCCTCGCCCTCATCCTTATCGTCCTCCTCCACCTCCTCACCCTCAATCTCATCCTCATCGTCCTCCTCCGCCTCCCCGTCCTTGTCCTCCTTCTCAAAAGGTTCGCTCTACGAAGTGTTCATAAGCTTCAGAGGTGAAGACACACGTAAAAACTTCACGGGCCACCTCCACGAAGCATTGACAAAGGCCGGAATCAACGCCTTTATTGACGACGAACTAAGAAGAGGAGAAGATATAACTACCGAACTTGTGCAGGCAATCCAGGGTTCTAGGATCTCTATCATCGTCTTCTCAAGACGGTACTCGGACTCCAGCTGGTGTCTCGAGGAGCTGGTAAAGATCATGGAGTGTAGAAGAATGCTAGGGCAATTAGTTTTGCCGATATTCTATGACGTTGATCCTTCGCATGTCAGGAAACAGACTAGTAGTTTTGCACAATCGTTTCTGAAACATACAGATGAAAAAAGGTAGAGAGGTGGAGAGCTGCTCTTACTGAAGCTTCGAATTTGCCTGGCTGGGATCTCAGAAACACTTTCGACGGGTACTTACTAATTTATTTTCTTATGAATTAAGGCTTTAATGTACCTTTGCTTATTAATTTGGAATCATGCGATTTCTTAGACCTCTGTAATAAAATCATACAATAAAGCTTAAACTGTTAAGGCTACACTAATCACAGTTGGGAAGCTGCCGGCGACTGGCTGCGGACGGAAGGGATGCTGGGTTTTTTGTTTGTGTTTCTTATTTTAATTTTAATTGATGTTTGCTAAGTTTAAACACACCACCTCAAAAAAATTGTCTTAATTAAAATCTCTAGTCATGATAAATAATTTTGTGTATTAATTAGTTCAATTTCGTTGTATAACAATCTTCGTTTTGCTTCTCAACTTGACTAATGCCAGGCATGAAGCAAAGTTTATCAGGATGATTACCAATGACGTCACTACTAAGTTGAACAACAAATACTTCGACGTAGCGCCCTATCAAGTCGGAATAGATACTCGAGTGCTAGATATTAGTAATTATTTAGGCATCGGAGATTCAGATGATGTTCGTGTGATTGGAATTTCGGGCATGGGTGGAATAGGTAAAACAACGATTGCTAAAGCCATTTATAACGAATTTTATGAAAGATTTGAAGGTAAAAGTTTCCTTGAAAAAGTGAGGGAAAAGAAGCTAGAAAAATTGCAAAAACAACTTCTTTTTGATATCTTGCAAACCAAGACAAAGGTAAGCAGTGTTGCTGCAGGGACCGCCTTGGTAAGGGAAAGATTTCGACGCTTAAAGGTACTTGTCATAGTTGATGATGTAGACGATGTGAAGCAATTACGTGAATTAGTTGGAAATTGCCACTTTTTGGCCCGGGGAGCAGAATCATCATCACAACTAAAAATGAAAGTGTGCTAAAAGAATTTGCAATTCAAAAGATATATCGGGCGAAAGTAATGGACCGAGAAGAAGCTCTTGAGCTCCTAAGTTGGCATGCTTTCAGAAGTAGTAGTTGTCCTAGTCAATATCTTGCACTCGAAAGAGAAGTTGTTAATTACTGTGGAGGATTGTCGCTGGCTCTTGAAGTTTTAGGATCTACTCTTTTCAAACGAAGCGTAGATGAATGGAGAAGTATATTGGATGAATTGAAAATAATTCCTCGTGGAGAAATTCAGGCACAACTGAAAATAAGCTACAACGAGCTAAATGATAATTACAAGAGGCGAATATTCCTCGATATAGCTTGTTTTTTTATCGGAATGGACAAGAACGATGTCATACAAATCTTGGATGGTTGTGGCTTTTATGCAACAACAGGAATCAAGGTCCTCCTTGACCGGTGCCTTGTAACTATTAATAGAGAAAACAAGATTATGATGCATGATTTGCTTCGGTATATGGGCAGAGATATCGTGCATGCAGAAAATCCCGATTTCCCTAGAGAACGGAGTAGATTGTGGCGTCCTGAAGATGTAAATGATGTATTGATAGACAAATTTGTAAGTACTTTCCCAATCAACTTTATGTTAAACGTGTAAGCATATGTAAGTTAGTAATCTAACTTTTTTTCATGCAAAGCCTTCTCTTATTTGGAGTCTGTTTTTTTCGGATAGCAGGGAACTGAAAAAATTGAAGGTCTGGCTTTGAATTTGCCGAGTCTTGAAAACACTAGTTTCAGTACCAAGGCGTTTAAAAATATGAAGAGACTGAGATTGCTCCAACTAAACTACGTACGACTCACTGGGTGATACCAATGTCTTTCCAAAAAATTAAGATGGTTGTGCTGGCATGGATTCCCATTGGAGTTCATACCAACAAAACTGTGTCAACCAAACATAGTTGTAAGCTAGGAAACTTTCTGGCTTAATCAGCTAGTTTGCAGATAGAGTCTGTATTTTTTTGCATGCCTTGATCTGTTTTTAATATGTTCTCTCTTTTTGAACTTTCTTGTTTCTGTGGTGGTTTTTAATATGTTCAGAGAATCCCTCTTCTTCTCATGTAGTCGCCAACTGTAAGCATCAGCGCATGCCTCCTCCCATTATTCTCTGGGACTTGGCACTCAACTATTGCTTCTATTCGCTGCTTTCTTGCCAAGAACCCTGTGGCTTTCCAAACTTCTGAAGAGCAGCCAATGATATTGGCAGCTCAAAATTATGCTTTAGATTTGACTCTCTTCCAAAATCAACAGGGGCACTCGTATCAATCAACTTCCCTACACCAGCCGCAGCTTCCAAAGCTGCTGCAGTTGCTGCTATGCCTGCCCGTACTGCTCCCACCATTGATAGTCCCAGACTTTGACCTCCCAATTCCAACCCTTACAACGCAAACCACAATTAACTCTTCCAAGAAGGGCTCCATAAACCACTTGCAAGTTTCGACCTTCGAATGGTAATCTCCTTTATAACATCAAAAGTTAGTCCCTGTGACCTTTCATCATCACTGTCAATCATTGCATCATCCCCTGATGATCCATCATCTTCACTACGAGAAGCATATCTCAACTTGCGGTGAGCCTCAGGGTCATGCAGCTTCAAACGTTTTGCTCGTAACTCATTCAATGCATCATCCTTGAAAGCTGCCCTGTCATCAGATCTGGCTGATGAACGCACCCGAGAGGATGGAAGAGGTGGAGTCTCTTTCCGGGACTGTGGGGCCTTCCCTTTGTCCCACTTTGGTTGGAAACATAGAAGGCAAAGTACTGCCTGCAGTGGCATGTGGACTAGAAGAATTTCCCTGAACATTCAGAGGCCTACCTGCCTTTGCTTCAGTTAGCAGTTTGTGTCACCTGCAACCATAGAGTCGGGAAAATGAAAAAACTGTCATGCATCAGAAAAGATGAAAGATTATGTAGTATGTAAATCATAGGTATCCAGTATCCTAATTAAAAAAAATATAAACTTTAGCATTTCCAACAACTAATTACAAATTTGTAACTACTTTAAGGCATTAGGTAATTTCGAACATTGCTAACAATTTACAATTTTCATCCCTTTTTCCATACTGAAATGTGCCCTTTAATGCTTCATTAATCGCAAAGTCATCGTTTCCGAACAAATTCAATACCATGGGCACGAAAATCAATATATACTAAAATCAACTCAGCATCATTATTTCTTAGCTCTCATGCTGGTTTCACAGGCTAGAACAAACACATATACAAATCCATGCAAATTATGTGTATCTCAAAACATACACACATGAAAAAACACAGAAATTTTTAATTCAACAGCAAAAAACCAAGCTCACCAAAATTCAAAAACCAAAAACTGCACCCATAAATCCTTCGAAACCCAACAAGATGCACAACCAAAACAATGCGAAAACACCAAAAATTTCAAATTTTGAAGACAAAAAAATTGGGTTTTCAAGTACCAGGCGATTAGTATCGGGAAGCGAAAGCCACTGCTCGAACAGCGACTCGACGTAGCTCGGATTCGATTTGAGGGCCAAAGGAGACAAATCATTGAGCTGCAACAGCTCGGCGTCAAACGACGCCGCATCCACCACAATTTCCATAGCCATCGAGACGCATATACAGATCACGGAACCCTAGAGAGAGAGAGAGAGAGAGAGAGAGAGAGAGAGAGAGAGAGAGAGAGAGATGTAGAGAGAGAATATGTTGACTTTTGTATTTTAGGTAGGATCCTAATTGATATGTAATCCCATGTAATCACTTGTAATTAGTTTTCTTTCCTTTTATGTTAGGGTTGTACACCTATAAGTTCCTCTTATTGAGAAGAATATATCATTATTCAAAGCATTCTCTTCTTGGCACCAGAGCCTAGGTTAGAAAAAAAGAAAAAAGTCTCGTTGTGCGCAGAAATAAGAACCACCAGTTGCACAGCTTGTTGTGCAGCGCACTGTCACACCAGCGAGCGACGCCGTCGTTGCTGATCCGAGTTCACTAGTTGCGCAACCAGTTGTGCAGTGCACTGTCACACCAGCGAGCGACGCCGTCGTTGCTGATCCGAGTTCACTGAGCCGATCCCTGCAGTCACCCACTACCATCTGTTGCTGCATCGCACTCCCACAAACCGAGATCCTAATCTAGAAACCTTGTCGTTGCAAATCCCGGTTGACAACCACGATTTCTTCTGCACCAGAAACCGATCTGTCTCTTCCTGGCGTCTACGCATTTGACTCATCATACCATCTGCAGCCCAACCTGTGTTCTGCTAAACTGATTTGATATGATCCCTGCATTTATTTTTTGATTTGTGTGTTTTGAAGGAACTCCCCACGTGCATTTATTTTGCTTTGCGTGTTCTGAAGGAATTCAAAAAAAAAGGAAAAAAAGAAAAAAAAAAAAAAAAAGAAAAAAAAAAGGAAAAAAAAGAAAAAAAAAAAAAAAAAAAAAAAAAAAAAAGAAAAAGGAAAAAAGGTTGTCCTTTTTTGTGTTACTGTTTGTTTTTGTTCCAGGGATCTCACATTGTTGACCTAGTTGGTTTGGAATCTTGGCCCTATCAATCACCTCAGACGTTGCACTCAACTCACGTAGAGCAATGACACATTGGACTCGTCATCCCCCCTGTAATGAGTCGTGTGCATTGATTGCCAAAGCTAAGGTAGCTTCTGAACATACAAACAACGATGGTAAAACTTTAAAGGTTTCTGCATCTGTTACGAATAATACATGGATAATTGATTCCGGTGCTACTGAACATATGACTTGTGATTTTAGACATGTAGCCTAAAACCATCCACCAAAACTGTCGTCAGTGTCGCCAATGGTAATCATGCCCCTGTTATCGGGGAAGGAACCGTCTCCCTTTCAGATACCCTTAGTCTTGATACCGTACTTGTTGTGCCTTCTCTTGACTATAATTTATTATCTGTTGCTCAAATAACTGTCGTCCTGCATTGTCTTTTGATTTTTTGGCCTTCTTTTTGTGTTTTTAAGGACATTCGGACTCGCAAGACGATTGGTTATGGTATTAGGAAAGGGAAGCTCTACTACTTGGAGCTGACATCAAACAGTTCTCGAATGTTGACTCAAGCTCTTGCAGTGGACGGAAATTCAGGGGATCGGAATAAAGCTTCGGAGGTTTGGTTGTGGCATCGTCGACTTGGACATGCTTCTTTCGGTTATCTACGGAGGTTGTTTCCTAGCCTATTTGTTAAGCATGATGTTTCTAGCTTTAAATGTGGTGTTTGTGAACTAGCTAAAAGTCATCGTGCCTCGTTTCCATCCAGTTTGAATAAAAGTTATGTTCCATTTATGATAATTCATTCTGATGTTTGGGGTCCATCTAAAACTGCTACATTTGGTGGTGCTCATTGGTTTGTTATTTTTATTGATGACTGCACACGTATGACTTGGGTTTGTTTGATGAAATCCAAAGGTGAAGTTACTTCTTTGTTTCAACAGTTTTACAAAATGGTACAAGTACAATATAAGTCACAAATACAGGTTCTCAGGAGTGATAATGGTGGCGAATATGTTAACTCTGAACTTCGTGCCTTTCTTGATCATCATGGGATTGTTCATCAAACTACATGTCCATATACTCCACAACAAAATGGGGTTGCCGAATGAAAGAACCGTCAGCTTCTGGAGGTTGTTCGTGCTTTTTTACTCGAGGCTCGTCTCCCGTTATGCTATTGGGGAGAAGCTCTCACCTCAGCTGCGTATCTCATTAATCGTGTTCCATCCCGATCGGTTGATTTTCATACACCTTTTCAGGCAATTTCTTCACATGTTGATGCTCATGCAGTCCCTAATTTTCCACCTCATGTGTTTGGTTGTTTGGCCTTCGTTCATCTTCATAAACAACATCGATGTAAGCTTGAACCTCGAGCCTTACGATGTGTGTTTGTGGGGTATGCATCAAGGCAGAAAGGATACCGTTGTTATCACCCACCGACGAATAAGTTGTTTGTCACTATGGATGTTGCGTTTCATGATAATGATATGTACTTTGCCAATCCCGAGTCTTCACTTCAGGGGGAGAATCAGAAAGAAGTTCAAACTCTTGATTATACTATTCCAGATATAGATAGAGTGAATGATTTGGAATTAAATGGTGATGTCTTGGAAATAAGTGGTGATCACTCACACGAAAATAATGATGTGAATGAATTGGAATTAAGTGGTAATGTCTTGGAGACAAGTGGTGATCATTCACATGGAAACAATGTTGAAAACCTTGAAAGGGACGAGTCGACATCGCCAGATAACTCACTGCCTGATAGCTCACTGCCAGTTTCCTCATCACCAGACAGCCCTGTGTCGCCAGCTACCTCACAGTCGATCTTGAGTCCCAATAACCATAATCAATCGTCTTCGATCCCGGATGCACCACCACCACATCATCTCCCTGATCGCGTCAACCGAGGTATTCCTAAACTTACTTATGAAGCCGACCCTAAATGCAAAACTAGGTATCCGGTGAGTAAGCCCAACCTTGAGTCTAATGTGTTATACCCGTTAAGTAATTATGTGTCTACCAGTCACCTGTCAGAATCAAATAAGTCGTTTGTACATCAATTATCTACTGTATCTATTCCTAACAGTGTGCAGGAGGCTTTAACTGATCCACGTTGGCAAGTAGCAATGAATGAAGAGTTGAAGTCTTTGAAGAAGAATGCTACCTGGGAGATCACAGATTTGCCAGCTGGCAAGAAACCTGTGGGATGCAAATGGGTCTATACTGTGAAATACAAAGCAGATGGGACGGTGGATCGTTTCAAGGCAAGACTGGTAGCAAATGATACACTCAAAAATATGGAATCTACTACACATATACATTTGCACCTGTAGCCAAGATCAACATAGTTCGTGTTTTGTTGTCCTTGGCTGCAAATCTTAATTGGCCCTTACAACAGTTCGATGTGAAGAACGCCTTCTTGCATGGAGACTTGACAGAAGAGATTTATATGGATCTTCCACCGGGATGTAATGCTCCAGATAAATACAAAAGAAAAGTGTGCAGGTTGAAGAAATCCTTGTATGGCTTGAAGCAGTCCCCTCGAGCATGGTTCGGAAGATTCACAAAATCTATGAGAGCATTTGGTTACAGACAAAGTAACTCTGATCATACTTTGTTCCTGAAAAGACAGAATGGGAAGCTTACTGCACTTATTGTGTATGTAGACGATATGGTGGTAACAGGTAATGATCCTGAAGAACGTGCGGCCTTGCAAAGATACCTGTCTGCAGAATTTGAAATGAAGGACCTTGGATCCCTAAAATATTTTTTAGGGATTGAGGTGTCGAGAAGCAGTTCTGGAATTTTCTTGTCTCAAAGGAAGTATATTATTGATTTGTTGCACGAAACTGGCATGTCAGCTTGTCAGCCATTAGCTACACCATTAGAAGAAGGATTAAAGCTTAGTGTTGATCCTAATCAAGTACCAGTTGACAAAGGAAGATACCAAAGGTTAGTAGGCCGGTTGATGTATTTGGCACACACAAGACCGGACCTTGCTTATGCCTTGAGTGTAGTGAGTCAATACATGCATGATCCTGGAGAACAACATATAAATGCCGTGATGAGAATATTGCGATATTTGAAGGGAAGTCCGGGCAAAGGAATTTTGTTTAAGAGGAATAATCACTTTAGTGTTGAAGGTTATACTGATGCAGACTGGCAGGTTCTATTGATGATAGACGCTCAACATCAGGTTACTTTACGTTTGTTGGGGGTAACTTGGTTACATGGAGAAGTAAGAAATAGAATGTGGTTGCCCGTTCCAGTGCAGAAGCAGAATACAGAGGTATGGCTTTGGGGATTTGTGAAATTTTGTGGCTTAAGCTTCTGTTAAGTGATTTGGGTATACAACATGATCAGCCCATGAAATTATTTTGTGATAATAAAGCTGCTCGTGACATTGCAGATAATCCAGTACAACATGTTAGAACAAAGCATGTTGAAGTTGATCGATTCTTCATCAAAGAAAAATTGGAAGGGAAAATAATTGAAGTACCGGCGATAAGAACTGAAGATCAGTTGGCAGATATCCTCACAAAAGCTGTTTCGAGTCACAAGTTTTCAAGTTTCTTACACAAGTTGGGCATGAGCGACATATATGCACCAACTTGAGGGGGAGTGTTGACTTTTGTATTTTAGGTAGGATCCCTAATTGATATGTAATCCCATGTAATCACTTGTTATTAGTTTTTTTTCCTTTTATGTTAGGGTTGTACACCTATAAGTTCCTCTTATTGAGAAGAATATATCATTATTCAAAGCATTCTCTTCTGAATAGCCATAGCAGCTCCAAAATTTTATACAAGAAAATAAAAGTCGAAGAATGGTGTATACGTGTCAGTGTGACATTGGCCCGAAACTGGATCATCTACGGCCAGCATCATGCAACTTATTTCAACAACTAATAAAAAACTTCCACGTACTTCTTTTTTTAATTAATTTACCATTTTGTTCCAACATAGTATAAAGCTGTCATTTTCCCTCGGGTTTTCCTTTCCCTTGGATTTTCTCGGGAAACAAACAGAAAATATGGAAGGAGAGGAGCTGCGTCGTTCCGAAGCAGACACGGTCGATCTTCTGACTTGTATGTTAGTAGTATGTTAGTAGATAATCAGTGATTTCAGGTTTAGCTTCTCTGTTTTCAGTAAAGATGCAGACTTTGTGTTCGATGAAATGCCCCATAGAGTTTTGTATATATAGGTTTTATTCGTGCTTGGTTGGTGTACACAAAGTGTAATTTCCGTGTCGAAAAGTACAGATATTTGATCCCAAATGAGTTGATCCATGCATATGTAAAAGTAACAGCTTGATTTTACTTGGGATTTCATATTTTTTGGAAAATGTCCATTCAGTGTTAGTTCAAATTCAAAATGTTGATTCAGTGTTAGTTCATTACTGTTACCGAATCTGGAATTTCGATTTCGGTCCAAGTATGCCTTATTCTTATGCTGAAAGTTTTTGAATTGTGTGTGTGTGTGTGTGTGTGTGTGTGTGGGTGCATTATGATTTTGTGTAGAGGTGTTCTCTTTTTTAATTTTGGAAGGGTTCTCAGTTACGTTTTTGGAATATGTAGTAATGCCATCGTCTTATATATTGTTCTTTCCTCTTGATTGAACCCAGAGATGAAGTGGTATTTCTTCACCCGTCCCAATTTTCCAAGCTGAATAAAGAGGCAGTCCATTTCTCACCCTCATCTGATGGCAGTACTGTGATGCGCTCAGCTAATGGCAACTCAGTTTTTTGGAATGGGGATCATAAGTTGGGGATTTCAACGCAATTTTTTTTCCCGTTATATGAAGCTTCTAAGCATGCGTTTATGGCAGCAAGTAGACAATAGAAGGCACTTAACAGCAGATCAGATGTATCTGGGGATGAGAAGTCTTTGTATGTGTCATTATCTTTGGATAATAGTTTTGAAAGTGACGTCATGAAGCATAGCAGGGCGCTTTTGTTGCTAAGTAGTGATTTCGGCACTGCATGGCATTCCAGGTTTTCCCCCTTTTCATTTTCGGTTCAGTAGTGCTTTTTCCTCTCTCTTACACTTGTTCTAACATAATTGTTTTAAAATAGTAGCAGATATGCATGTGAAGCAACGGTCCTTTGTAGCGTCATGTTCTTTGGTTTCCTGACATGGAGATTCATCTATCTTCCTCTAGAGTTTTTGATGTGCAATTATTTACTATAATTATATATCAATAATTTTGGATCTTCTTGATCTTGTCTGCTTTTCAATTTATGTCATGACACCTACTTGGTCTAGTATATGTGATGCAGGAAGCTTGTTGTGTCGCAGAAGCATAAGCACTCAGCATTTTTGGATGAACTTCTCTTGTCAGCACTTGTTCTTTCATATTCACCTAAGTTTGAGTATGCTTGGAGCCATAGGTAGCATTTTTAGCAGAAGTTTTCCGTTATATGCTTAACAACTGGCATGATTTCTATACTTTCTTATTTATAAGTACTCAGCCGGGTAGGGTTTAATCGAGTCCCTCATTATAGTTTTCCCATGTAATGACTTTAATAATTGAATTTTAAGAACATATCGATCATTGCAGGCAGTGGGTCATCAAGTCGATTGCTGGAAAGTGTTCAACTCTGTCGGAGATTGTGACCAAAGACTCTGAGCTGGTGGAGAAAATAGCTGAGGTTTAAATTCAGTTCAGGAACTGCATGCTTTTAATTTACAAAGGTTTATTTAAACTTTAATTCAATTATCTTATATGTTGTTTTTGTTCAGTCTCATTATTGCTTTCGTAGGGAAAAACAACATAACTCACACACACCGCATAAAAGACTTGAGAAATGACTTCCGTCACCCCAACACATTGTGCACTTTTATAATTGTGTGCATCTGGCAGTCATCTTGTCTGCAAAATAAGGTTTCCTACTGAGCTGCTAAATATCTGTATCAAACTAGTACAGATAATAGTTGTAATTCACTCTCTCTTTTCCAAACGTGATGTGGATCAGTGTCCATGGTTTCAATAGCAACTGTTATTCTGTATGGGCATTTCATATGTTCCACAATTTTCTTATGTGAGAATTTTCCTTGTCATTGTTCACTTTTGTGTAATTCAAAATCTTTCTTTACAGAGGTCAAAAATGAATTACCGTGCATGGAACCACCGTTGCTGGTTGGTTTCCTACATGACAAGAGAACAGGTTAGATCTAATCTCGATTTTTCTTATCCGGGGAATAATTCAGGTTTCCTTCTAGGAATTTCATATTTATATGTGATGTAAACAATTCTGAGCCAAATTGCACTCCTATACATTTGAAAAGGATAAGCAGAGAATTATTTTTAGCCTTCATTCTCAACAAATGTGACTGATAGTTTGAGAGTAATTGTTGATTTTATGCAGTTTCATATTCCGAGATTCGTATTTGTACCATACATATCCATTTTTCTCTCTCGTCCGTGTTTATGATGAGTTATATGCACCATAAATTTGTGCTTGCAGTTGCTACATGAATTAGAAAGATCCCGAACCTGGGCCTCCTTGCATGTTGCTGATCATAGTTGCTCCCATTATCGCAGTGTGAGACCTTGCTTTCCTTTTGTTGTGATACTGAGAGACAAAGTTGTCGATGTGCTGGACTTTAATTCCCCTCACAATCAATGTTTCTATCATTTTGCAGCGGCTGATGCGTAAGATTTAGAGGACGAATGCTATAAACAAGAGATTTCAGCTTCTGGTTACAGTGTTGAGATATATCGGCTGTGGAAGGTACAAATCTTCTTTAATCTCTTTTCAGTAATTATGACCATGAGTTCCTATGGGCAAGCACTTTTTATATTGTACTATCTTCGTTACATGAACGTTTACAGTTGATACTTGTGTCAAATGTGGTCATGTCAGGAAGAGCTTGATTGGGATGAAATGTTGATAAAGCACTACATAGGAAGAGAGGTACGTGGGGTGTTTTTGTATATTTCACTAATCATCTGAGAACCCCCCGAGTTTTAATTTCTGTGGTATTCACTGTAAACAGGCTCTATGGCTTCATCGCCGCTTCCTTTCTTATTTTGGATAAAGCATTTCATAACTGATCATACTGGTCTGTCCAGCCATGCGAAGCAGAATAACAGCATGAATGACGACTTCAGAATCTTTATGAATAACGAGTTACAGCTCCTCGACTCCTGCTCCATCATTCCAGATAATAGCTTCGATGACTACCAAGCACAGGCTAAACATTCGGCTACTTACATATTATGGTTGATTATGGTAATAGTATTTCTCCTCCATTCACAATTTGTCATGACTTTACTCATACCTGCAACTGCAACTGCCTCAGCAAATCGAATTGACTGGATGCTTGTGTTACTCTTACCTGCCTCAGCAAATCCCTGATTCCCGACGCATTGAATTTCAAGATAAGCTGAAAACTGAAAACCTGAAAGCTCTGTTGAATAAAGCGTGCCTGGAAAGGTCCTCAACATGGGATTCTTTAGTGAGCTATTTGTCCTGCAACTTTTCCTTTCAGTTCGATTGAACAATTAGTTAGCAACATGCTGTCGTGCTTTGTCTATCCTTTGGTATGAAGCTGAAAATTGCAGTGTCTTTATCCCTTTGATTCACCCACTGTAAGCCTACTTAGCTCCAGCTGAAGCCATTCAAGTCAAACTGTCTGTAGCTTGAAGTTTACTTTTATTTTTAGAAATGTTTATTAATTTTTTAAATTTCAGCAGAAATCAATTGAAACGAACTACAATTTGATGATTGAATGCATGGAAAATGCAGTGGAGAGCCTTTTCTCGCTCTCAAATCTAGCGAATTGCGCTGGACCACCAGTCCCTCCGCACCACCAACGTTCCTCCGCTTTGCTAAAGGTAAGCGATCCATCCTACTCTAAATTTCAAAAAATTGGGGGGGTTTTGTTTCCTTTTCAATACCAATCAGGTAATCAATCTGCATGAATGGATTTGATAGATTGAATCCCCGTTGACCTGAATTGGAGTGGCCTATGCCAGCCTGGAGATTGTTTCTTTGCTCATTAGAGGCTGGCCATTATTGACCCTGCTTCTGGTGATCAACCTCTCTGCAGTGGAGAAATCAATTTGTTGTCGCTGTAGGGTCGCGTCATATATTTTTTAATTTTGTGTGGTTTAATTTATTGAATATTTGAAAATAATTGATAAATTTTCAATTTTTGATTACTGATACGATGCGTATGTTGATTGGTGATTTTGTTGGATTCACTCAACTCAAATATATGGTAACTGAATTGCTACATTTGAGAATGTGATTATGTTCCTACCACCATTTTGCCCACTTTCTGTGGAAATTATTCAAGCTCACAACAGATGCATTCAACCCCCGCAGCGAAGCGCGGGCACATTTTCTAGTTCAGCCTAAAACACTTCTGTGGGTCCGGGGGCATATGGAAGAGTGGTCTAGAAGGAGTTTGGTACAAGGTTTGATATGTAAGGCGGTGGATTGTCCTTGTGAATAGATAGTTTTTGTTTGACTTAAGTTCATTATAAATTAAAATACTTATATTCTCTTAATTTAGCTTAAAAATAAGTAACATCAATTGTGAAAAAATAAACATTTAAAATCAATTGATCTGTTGTTTTGATGCAGTTTGAATTTTCAACATTCTAAAGTAAGAGCACAAGTAAATCCAAAGTGGTTGGACATATAAATCCAAAGTGGTTGGACATATATCAGAGTCATTCTTCAACTACTACGGATGGTAACGATGATGAAAGACAAGGCCACTATTAAACTACCAATCCTAAGAGCATCCCCAGTGAGGGGTTTTAATATTTTATATGGGGCTGGAAAAGTGATGGATACAACCCATTTTATAGTTCCAAGAAATTTTTGGGGTTGTATAAAAGAATCTCTCACAATGAGGGGCTATATCTTTCGGGCTCTATATGGGCTATATATATTTATTTATGTAGTAATTTGATTAAGCAATGAATTTTTTTTTTTTTGTGTTAGCTTTTCTTAAGTTGATTTTTGGACGTGCTATCTTAAATTTAACCCTTCCACCTACAAAGTTCAAATTGTGACAAAGTTAGATTTTATCACTTATGAATTGTTTGTTAGATTAGATTCCCTTATCTCAATCTCATTTATTATAAGAAATAAACCCTCACTTCGTTTTCTGAAATAATTTGATTTTCACGTATAATACAATAATTTTACCTAACACCAATTGGTAAATTAGTATCATATAATTTTGAAAAAAAATATTTGAAAATTTCACCCATCAATGCTCATGAACGTTAAATCAATTTGAAATTTTAATTCTTATAGAATTTAAAACAATCATTAATTAGTCAAATTGCAAGCAAAGTAAGTAAGAAAAAAGAATTAAAAAATAATAAAATGAGAGTATGAGTGTATTCGCAAGTGGAGGGAGAATGATAGAATTTTGCTCACATAGGTTGCTACTTTTTTTGTGGGACCCACTGTTTTTTGGGGCTAGATGTAGCCTGATTTTATGCTACCCAAGAAATGAAGTTACTAGCCCTAGTGGTGGATCTAGCCCCATTTTCTGGCTCATTGAGGATGAAATTTCTCGCTAAGGCTAAAAATGTGGTAGCCTCATGGAGGATAAAGCCCCCATTGGGGATGCTCTAACATCCTTGATGCCATTTTCCATAACAACTTCGATTATTTTATACCAAACTAGAAGATGAGCACACACTTTGTGTGTGAACAATTTCATTTTCTTTTTTATTTTAGATTAAGGAGTGTGATTAGTTTTTAAATTTTTTAAAAAGAGTATGAGACAATGATGATGAGATCTCCTAATAAGGGCATATTTTTCTTAATATTACATAATTACCATTTTGCCCTCTTTATGTAAATATTGTGTATCAAAAGTGAGGGTAAAATAGGGAAAATAGGGATATGATTGTCATTTTCTCAAAAGATGCAAAATTACTATTTTGCCCTCCTTTTTGTCAAGGTTGTGTATCAAAAGTGAGGGCAAAATTGGAAAAATGGGGAAAATTTTGACAAGGAGGGTTTTCTTAATATATAGTATAGATTGTCTATAAATATATATTTTTCCTTGATATTTAGCCATACTGAAAGTGAGAACCCTGCAAATATGCATTTGGCACTCTCTACCAAACTTGTAAGTTGAATTAAAAAATTGACTAGGAAGACTGGTAGAGGTCGTCATAAAAAATTGAATACGAAGACTGGTAGAGGTCGTCATAATCCGAGATTCCGTAATGAACCTGACTTTTCTCCTCCCACTTCCCATACACTCCTATCCCCTCTTATTTTGTGCGGTCACGGTTAAGCCACGTTAATATTTTATATTAATTTTTTTATAAAGATAATAAGACAAAAGTCAATAGTAATATAAAATGTTGACGTGGCTTAACCGTGACCGCACAAATAAGAGGGGATCAGAATGTATGGGAAGTGGGAAGGCAGAGAAGTCAGATCCCTTTTGCAATAGGGTACTTTCAAATTAACTCTTGCAATGAAGTCCTGCAGAAGAAAGAAAATCAATATAGCCAAAAACCTTCAATTTGCATAAAGAAAATGAAGGAAATGGATACCTGGTCGAGCTTAGGGAAGCTGTTAACTTTGGTGCTGGTGTTAGTGTCCAACCACTTTACGGCTCGCAATTCCGATCTTGTCTATGATGTCCTCATCTTCCTCCTCTACTCCCTAGGCCTCGTCTTTCGCTAAATGAATATCTCCGTCCCCGATAAAACCTCGTCCTCATCCTCCTCCTCGCCCTCATCCTCATCGTCCTCCTCCACCTCCTCCTCATCGTCCTCCTCCACCTCCTCACCCTCAATCTCATCCTCATCATCCGCCTCCACCTCCCCATCCATGTCTTCCTTCTCAAAAGGCTTGCTCTACGAAGTGTTCATAAGCTTCAGAGGTGAAGACACACGTAAAAACTTCGTGGGCCACCTCCACGAAGCATTGACAAAGGCCGGAATCAACACCTTTATTGACGACGAACTAAGAAGAGGAGAAGATATAACTACCGAACTTGTGCATGCAATCCAGGGTTCTAGGATCTCTATCATCGTCTTCTCAAGACGGTACTCGGACTCCAGCTGGTGTCTCGAGGAGCTGGTTAAGATCATGGAGTGTAGAAGAACGCTAGGGCAATTAGTTTTGCCAATATTCTATGACGTTGATCCTTCGCATGTTAGGAAACAGACTTGTAGTTTTGCACAATCGTTTCTGAAACATACAGATGAAAAAAGGTAGAGAGGTGGAGAGCTGCTCTTACTGAAGCTTCGAATTTGTCTGGCTGGGATCTCAGAAACACTTTAGACGGGTACTTTCTAATTTCTTTTCTTATGAATTAAGGCTTTAACGTACCTTTGCTTATTAATTTGGAATCATACGATTTCTTAGACCTCTGTAATAAAATCATACAATAAAGCTTAAACTGTTAAGGCTACACTAATCACAGCTGGGAAGCTGCCGGCGATTGGCTGCGGAGGGAAGGGATGCTGGTTTTTTTGTTTGTGTTTCTTTATTTTAATTTTAATTGATGTTTGCTAAGTTTAAACACACCACCTCAAAAAAAATTGTCTTAATTAAAATCTCTAGTCATGATAAATAATTTTGTGTATTAATTAGTTCGATTTCGTTGTATAACAATCTTCGTTTTGCTTCTCAACTTGACTAATGCCAGGCATGAAGCAAAGTTTATCAGGATGATTACCAATGACGTCACTACGAAGTTGAACAACAAATACTTTGACGTAGCGCTCTATCAAGTCGGAATAGATACTCGAGTGCTAGATATCAGTAATTATTTAGGCATCGGAGATTCAGATGATGTTCGTGTGATTGGAATTTCAGGCATGGGTGGAATAGGTAAAACAACAATTGCTAAAGCCATTTATAACGAATTTTATGAAAGGTTTGAAGGTAAAAGTTTCCTTGAAAAAGTGAGGGAAAAGAAACTAGAAAAATTGCAAAAACAACTTCTTTTTGATATCTTGCAAACCAAGACAAAGGTAAGTAGTGTTGCTGCAGGGACCGCCTTGGTAAGGGAAAGATTTCGACGCTTAAAGGTACTTGTCATAGTTGATGATGTAGACGATGTGAAGCAATTACGCGAATTAGTTGGAAATTGCCACTTTTTTGGCCCGGGGAGCAGAATCATCATCACAACTAGAAACGAAAGTGTGCTAAAAGAATTTGCAGTTGATAAGATATATCAGGCGAAAGTAATGGACCGAGAAGAAGCTCTTGAGCTCCTAAGTTGGCATGCTTTCAGAAGTAGTAGTTGTCCTAGTCAATATCTTGCGCTCGAAAGAGAAGTTGTCAATTACTGTGGAGGATTGCCGCTGGCTCTTGAAGTTTTAGGATCTACTCTTTTCAAACGAAGCGTAGATGAATGGAGAAGTATATTGGATGAATTGAAAATAATTCCTCGTGCAGAAATTCAGGCACAACTGAAAATAAGCTACAACAGGCTAAATGATAATTACAAAAGGCGGATATTCCTCGATATAGCTTGTTTTTTTATCGGAATGAACAAGAACGATGTCATACAAATCTTGGATGGTTGTGGCTTTTATGCAACAACAGGAATCAAGGTCCTCCTTGACCGGTGCCTTGTAACTATTAATAGAGAAAACAAGATTATGATGCATGATTTGCTTCGGGATATGGGCAGAGATATCGTGCATGCAGAAAATCCTGATTTCCCTATAGAACGGAGTAGATTGTGGCATCCTGAAGATGTAAATGATGTATTGATAGACAAATTTGTAAGTACTTTCCCAATCAAACTTTATGTTAAATGTGTAAGCATATGTAAGTTAGTAATATACTTTTTTTCATGCAAAGCCTTCTCTTATTTGGAGTCTGTTTTTTCGGATAGCAGGGAACTGAAAAAATTGAAGGTCTGGCTTTGAATTTGCCAAGTCCTGAAGAGACTAGTTTCAGTACTGAGGCGTTTAGAAATATGAAGAGACTGAGATTGCTCCAACTAAACTACGTTCGGCTCACTGGGCAATACCAATATCTTTCCAAAAAATTAAGATGGTTGTGCTGGCATGGATTCCCATTGGAGTTCATACCAATAGAACTTTGTCAACCAAACACAGTTGTTATCGACATGCAGTACAGCAGCCTCAGACAAGTTCTTTGTGGGTATTCTGGGGTAAGTACAATGCGTAACCTGAACCAAATTTGGAATTATTTTTATGTTTTTTGTATCTTCTTTTTGGATTTAAATTTTTTATTTCAACTTGATTTTTCTTAACAGTTGCTTGATAAGTTGAAGATTCTGAATCTCAGCCACTCCCACGATCTAACACAATCGCCAAACTTTTCGAAATTCCCAAATCTTGAGAAATTGATACTCAAAGACTGTAAGAGGTTGGCTAAAGTTCACAAGTCCATCGGAGATCTCAAGAGTCTTGTGTTGGTGAATTTGAAGGACTGTGAAACGCTTAAGGCTCTTCCGAGGAGTTTCTACAAGTTGAAATCTGTCAAAACTCTTGTTCTCGATGGTTGTTCAAGATTCCAAAGCTTGTCTGAGCACTTGGGAGAAATGGCATCATTGGTCACTCTTTATGCAGATGGGACGGCCATAAAAAAAGTACCACCTTCCATCGTACGACTAGAGAAGCTCGAGCGCATATCTTTGAGTAAATTGAAGTGTTCTTTGCAGCTACCTTCCTTACAAGGTTTACGCTCTTTGACAAGCTTAATTTTGGAGGACAGCAATATAGAGGAAGTGCCTAATGATATTGGGAGTAGTCTACCTTGTTTAGTGGAGTTAAGTCTAGATGACAATAATTTTGGGAGCCTTCCAAGCCTCAGTGGCCTCTCCAAGCTTCTTGTATTATCCTTGAATGGTTGCAGAAACCTTGTTGAGATTACAGATTTACCAAAAAGTTTGGGTTTCCTGCACATGGACGACTGCTCTGTATTAGAAAGAATGCCAGATTTTTCAGGCATGTCGACAGCAGTGATTCTTTTTTCCCCGAAACTCATTGAGTTTCCAGGCTTGGATAGCGCGTTAAACTCGGGACTCAATCTTTATATGACAACACACAACAATGTCATGGATTTCCTTCTTAAGGATAGCACGATACAGGTACTCTCTCTCTTCCACACCACCCCCCTCTCTTCCCCCCTCACAAATATGTGTGTTATGTATGTAGTACTCACACAAATCTTGTTCCACATGGTATAGGGATGGACAGGAGGTGGAACCATGAGTTTTGTAGGAAGACAAATTCCCACTTGGTTCAATCATGTAAACGAGGGTACCCAAGTCTCTTTTGAAGTGCCTAAGGAAATTGGTTCTAATGCAAAAGCATTGGCTGTGTGCCTGGCTTTTGTTCCTCGTGATTACATCAGGCCGAGTTATATTTATGTTATTAATCACACCAAGGGTACTAGTTTTTGTGTTGAACTAGGAGATTTTTTTTCTTTGAAGAGATCATTTGGCTGGCAAATTTATCGTTGTCGGAAATCGAGTTCAATTTGGAAGAAAGCGATTTGGTCCATGTTATTGCACATTGTCCGGTGAAGAAAATAGGGGTACGTTTAGTATGCGACAAACTTATGACTTTCAAAGGTTCGTTTTTTGATTACCATTATATCCCTTACGAACGGGCCTTACAAGAAATTTCTACCGAAGTCGATGATTTTGACGAGGATTATGAAGATGATGATTTTGATGAGGATGATGACAACACGATGAGGATTTTGATGGGGATGATGAGGAGGATTTTGAGGAGGAAGAGGAACAAGACGATGATGAGGACCAACAATGTGCTGATGCTAATGATGAGGGTGTTGATGAGGACGAGGCGGAATAAGACGATGATCAGGACCAAGAAGTTGCGGATGATAATGAAGAGGGTGATGATGAGGAGGCCCAAGACGACGACGACTATGTAAGCTAGGAAACTTTCTGGTTTAATCAGCTAGTTTGCAGATAGAGTGTATTTTTTTGCATGCCTTGATCTGTTTATAATATGCTCTCTCTTTTTGAACTTTCTTGTTTCTGTGGTGGTTTAATTTAACTTATTAATGCATTTAAGGTTTTTAATATGTTCAGAGAATCCCTCTTCTTCTCATGTAGTCGCCAACTATAAGCATCAACGCATGCCTCCTCCCATCATGTAGTCGCCAACTTATTAAAGTAATTGATAAAAATAGAGCTCAAACTCAAATGTATAAAAGTATTTGAAAATCTATTTTGTCGCAATTAATTTAGGGGTGTGATATCCACACATTCCATTTTACTTCCTACATACTCTTTTAATTTTCGACCATCAGATTAAATGAATTGAAGAAGATCAACAGACATAAATTATCAAGATTTGTGTGAGAAATAAAATGGGATGTGTGAATAGCATTTGTGTTACATGATTTAGTAAGGAGGGCAAGGATAGGTTGAAACCACAAAGAAAGAAAGGAATATGCTACCTTTAGCTAGTTCTTATAAGTCAACACCTCATTTTTTTGTCATGTAACATGATTGATGAAAGGATAATGTATAAAGGCATCTTCTGATTATTAAGACGTCTTAAACTTAATCTTGTATACTTACGGGATAATTTTTATTGAGTTTTTATCAATAATAGCCAAAATTTAACACTCAATTTCATAAATGTCATTTTTTATAAAATCTTTCAAAAATAACAGAAAATCCACTTAAATAGACTTAAATACCCTCAGAATTAAAGCTGAATAAACATAAAGTAAAAAAGTTTGGGTTAGCCAAGATCCAAGGACCATAAGCAATAAGATCTGCAAAGCCCTCAGCCACATCATTGTTCCCAACTTCCTTGTCGTAACCACCACCAGCAAAAATTGTTGCCAACAATGATGGTACCATTACAAGCCTTTCTCATGGGTACAAGACTTTTTTTTTTTGGGGGGGGGGAGGGTTCACTCTTTTTCTCCTACTGTTTTCATCGTTGGCTCAACCATATGGCAGTACAGGATCCCATATTTGATCAATGAATTGGCCAAATAAAGGCCCAACGAAAGGCGTCCCGAGCAACCGAACTTCAACACCAGCAACAACAATGAAGATTGTTCTCGTGGCAGGAGGTAAAAGCAAGAAGACGAAGCGCCCCAAGTCCGATGATATCTATCTCAAGCTTCTCCTCAAGCTGTACCGTTTTCTTGTCCGGATGACTAGAGCAGGGGCCACCCAGAATTTATAGTAAGGTGAGGTAACAATATTAGTTAAACCAAGAGTTCACTACAAGTCAGCTCAGAAAAAAAAAGCGCCTCCAGGAAAGCTACTTGACCCCTTCTCCGCAATCAACCCTTATAAAGGGCATTGTTTATCCACTTCAGAGAGAAAGATTCATGCACCTTAAAGTGGGGTAATAGGGTTGGTGAACAAGAATCGAGACATTTTAAAAGTAAAGGAAAATAGTTGTGGTTACATAAGATAAACCACAGCTAGGAAAGATATTGAAAGGGGGTGGGGATAACAACTTTGAAACTACACCCTTTCACAAGCAATGACAAAAAGTGAATATTACCAATAGACCATTGAGATCAAACGGACCGTGGGAAGCCACGTGTCTTTCCAACAGTAACATTGGCAAATTGTGACGTGGGCCCGGCTCCTGAAAAGGTGTTGGCTGACGCGCCCCCACGTGCAGGTGAGGGGCACGCGCCTGACAAAAATATATATATAATTGGGCTGACGCCAGGATGACGTCAGCCCTGGCGTCACATCCACTCGGGCTCGCGGGCTAGCAATTCCTCACGGGCTTGTTGCTCAGTCTTGCCCTGTCCCTCGAGTTCCCACACGCTGGAGCACTTCAGTCGGGCTATCTGGCCCTGTTCACTAGCCTTTCCCCCGAGCACCAGCCAACGCTGGAACTGCTCTTAGCATCAATTTTTCTGAAAAGAGATATGGAGAAGAATGAGGGCCGCTTGCATATATCCTTAGCAACTGATTTAAATTCTGATACACCAAGGAGACAGTTAGAGGTCGCACTTGGTGCGATGGCAAGTGCCTTCGCCCATGAGCGGTAGGTCTCGGGTTCGAGACTTGGGAGCAGCCTCTCCATAAATGGGGGTAAGGCTAGCCGACATTCACCTCTCCCAGACCCTGCGTAAAGCGGGAGCCTTGTGCACTGGGTACGACCAAGGAGACAGTTAAAAGCTAATTCTAGTTGTACAACACAAACTCATATCTTAAGTATATCTCACCATGAATCTGCAGTCCGTCTGAGTTACCAGAGAAAAACTGATTGATTCTAATAAGCATTGATCTTTTAGTTCATTTGGAGGCGGGCGACCATTTAGAAAGTAAAACTGCAAGTGGTACAAAATCCAAGTTAGAAATAATAACCTACCTTTCCCTCTAATTAAAGAAAACCATTACAGCTAGATAGTTCAAATGACAAATACAACGCAAAACAAAAGAAATAAAAAATAGTGCCACTCTTATTGCCGAAAAGGATTAGGATTTGTCAAACCTGAGGTATTGTTGCGAGTTATACATTAGTTAAAGTGTAAATAATAGTTTATTGTCCCACATTGGTGAAGTACGTATGTAATACCAATTGTAACTCCTATATATACTCCACTTTGGAGATTAATGGATATATAAGAAATTCCCAAATATTATCATATATATTTTTGGTATTTACCATGTTTAGTTTAATATGGCATCAGAGCAGTTCGCTCTTGGTGACCTGTGTGCTTTAATTTTGTGCCCACATTTTTCGTGATTTCCTCCGTGTGGGAAAAAAAAAAAAAAAGTGTCGGGCTACAGTACAGTGCTTTGCTATAGTGCGTGAACTGTGGTCTTCTACAGTGCCGTGAACAGTGATTGCTACATTGCCGTGAATAGTCTTTGCTACAGTGCCGTGAACAGTGATTGCTACAGTATTCTGATAAATTGTTTTCATTCCGTTGCGTATCTTTTGTGCTTTTATTGTTCGTGATTTTGTTCAATGGCTCAATATAATCATAGTGTTGTTATGCATCTTGGTGGAACAAATAAATGGATAATTGATACTGAGGCCACTGATCATGTGACTAGTGACCCTAGAGTGTTTGATGAGTTATGTGACTATGTTCGTGATCCGTATATTACTAGTGCAAATGGAGCACTTTCCCCTGTGAAGGGTGAAGACACTATCTCTCTGACTCCAACCTTATCACTGGTTCGTGCTTTACTTGTTCCTGATGTTAAGTACAATCTTTTGTCGGTAGGAAAACTTCTTGATACTTTATATTGTTCTGCTCACTTCTACCCTACGTATTGTTATTTTCAAGATATTCAAACTTAGAAGATAATTAGTTATGGTAAAAGGATAGGGGGTTTGTACATCTTGACTATGGAGGATACTGTTGTTTCCGGTTCAAATAATCATCAAGTTTAAGAGCTAAAGTGGATGACAGACATCAAATTTGGTTATGGCATCGACGATTAGGACATCCATCATTCAGTTATATGAAGCATCTATTTCCTTCTTTGTTTCGCACTTGTAGTGATTCAGAGTTCAAGTGTGAAACATGTGTCATGGCTAAGAGTCATTGTGCTTCATTTCATGTAAGTGATTCTACAGCTACTTTGTCATTTGATTTGATATATTCTGATGTGTGGGGTCCTGCGAAAGTTACTTCTAATGGATTCTGTTGGTTTGTTACTTTTATTGATGATTGTACTCGGGTAACTTGGGTGTTCTTGATGAAAAATAAGAGTGATGTTCCGTTACTTCTTCAAGAATTTTGTACAATGGTGTCTACTCAGTTTCAGACCAAAGTTAAGGTCTTTAGGTCTGATAACGGAGGAGAATATGTGAATCACATTTTGGCATGTTTTTTCCGTGATCATGGTATGATTCACCAGACAACTACTCCGTTTACACCCCAACAAAATGGTGTGTCCGAACGGAAGAATCGTCAAATAATGGAGGTTGCTCGCTCCTTGATGTTGGATAAATGTGTTCCTAATCATTTGTGGGGTCATGTTGTTTTGGCTGCTGTGTATTTGATCAATCGTGTTCCAAGTAGGGTTCTTGATTTTCAGACACCGTTTGATGTGCTACAAAAACATGTTTCTCTTGTTTCTGTCTCAAAGCTTCCTCCGAAAGTGTTTTGGTGTATTGTGTATGTGCATGTCTACTCTCATCAGCGGAGTAAACTTGATGCATGTGCTCTCCGGTGTGTCTTTATTGGGTATGCTAACAATCAAAAAGGCTATAAGTGTTATCATCCTCCGACTCAAAAAACTTATATTACCATGGATGTCACCTTCCAAGAGGAAGTTTCGTATTTTGTAAAGCCCTCTTCCGACTTTCCACTTCAGGGGGAGAGGAGGAGTGAAGTGCAGATTCGAAGAGATGATATGGATGATGTGTTACAGACAGAGTTGGGAACATAACCTATTATGTTGCGTGATACTAATCAGTCGGTTATAGATAGTGATCGGTCACCTGTCATTCCCGGAACTATTTCTACTAACGACAAATCAGATGTGCCCAGCAAATTGCCTGTTAGTATGTCTGATGAATTACCTTCTGATGATCGGTTGCCTGCTGCTGATATGTCTAACGAGTTGTCTGATGATGGTTCGTCCAGTGATGATTCTTCTAACAGTTTGGTATAAGATGGTGGCATACATGAGGTAAATTCTGACGATTCTTCTACTTATCAGTTGCCTCCACGAGCTAATCGTGGAAAACCTAAAGTACAATATGAGCCTGATATGCATGTTAAAGCCAAATATCCTATCAACAATTATGTGTCTACTCATCGTTTGTCCCAACCATATGCATCTTACATATGTCAGCTATCTAGTGTATCAATTCCAACAAAATTGCAAGATGCTTTGTCTGACCCTAAGTGGGTTAATGCCATGAAAGTTGAGATGGAAGCTTTGAAAAAGAATTCTACTTAGGATTTGGTTCCATTACCAAATGGGAAGAAAGTCATTGGATGTAGATGGGTGTTTACTATTAAGCACAAAGTAGATGTTTCTATTGATCGGTATAAAGCCAGATTAGTTGCTAAGGATTATACTCAAACCTATGGGGTGGACTATCAGGAGACCTTTGCTCCTGTTGCCAAACTTAATATTGTGCGTGTTCTTCTGTCCTTAGTAGCAAACCAGGATTGGCCTCTGTTGCAGTTTGATGTTAAGAATGCTTTCCTTCAAGGTGATCTTAAGGAGTAAGTGTATATGGATCTCCCACCTGGTATTGGAACGTCTCCTGAAAAAGGTGTTGTATGCAGGTTACGAAAAGCCTTGTATGGTTTGAAACAATCTCCTAGAGCATGGTTTGGGAGGTTTACAAGTTTAATGAAGAAGTTTGGGTATATCCAAAGTCATTCAGATCATACTTTGTTTCTAAAGCGACAAAATGGTAAGCTAACTGCATTGATTATTTATGTTGATGACATGATAGTGACTGGTGATGATCAGAAAGAGATACAGCACCTTCAAAAGTACCTAGCTACTGAGTTTGAGATGAAAGAATTGGGTGAATTGAAGTATTTTCTTGGAAGGAAGTATGTTCTTGATTTGTTAGCTGAAACATGTATGTTAGATTGCAAACCTGTTGATACTCCGATTGAGCAGAATCATCGTCTGGGCTTATTTCCAGATCAAGTTCCTACTCATAAGGAACGGTATCAAAGGCTTGTGGTGAGATTAATTTATTTGTCTCACACTCGCCCTGACATTGCTTATGCAGTTAGTGTGGTAAGTCAGTTTATGCACTCACCTAGTGAAGCTCATATGGATGCAGTAACCCGTATTTTGAGGTACTTGAAGATGGCTCCTGGCAGATGCCTGGTTTTCTCCAAGAATGATCATTTGAATGTCGAAGGGTATATAGATGCAAATTGGGCAGATTCTATCACTGATCGGCGATCTACATCTGGATACTTTATGTTTGTGGGTGGTAATTTAGTTACTTGGATAAGCAAGAAACAAAAAGTGGTGGCTAAGTCAAGTGCAGAAGCTGAGTTTCGTGGTATGTCTCATGGTGTATGTGAGTTGTTGTGGTTGGAAAAATTGTTGAGAGATCTTGAGTTTAAACACAAAGGTGCTATGAAACTTCATTATGATAACAAGGCTGCTATTGAGATTGCTCATAATCCAGTGCAACATGATCGAACAAAACATGTGGAGATTGATCGACATTTCATTAAGGAAAAATTGGATGCTGGAATTATTATGTTTCCGTTTGTGAGATCTGAAGATCAACTTGCTGATGCTCTTACTAAGGCTGTGTCTAATAGTGCGTTTCCGACTCGCTTGACAAGTTGGGCATGCGTGACATCTTTGCACCAACTTGAGGGGGAGTGTTGCGAGTTATACATTAGTTAAAGTGTAAATAGCAGTTTATTGTTCCCACATTGGTGAAGTACATATGTAATACCAATTGTAACTCCTATATATACTCCACTTTGAAGATTAATGAATATATAAGAAATTCCCAAATATTATCATATATATTTTTTGTATTTACCATGTTTAGTTTAATATTGGTATTTACCATGTTTAGTTTAATAGGTATCACTTCTTTAACTGATTCGCTAACTACTTTCAGGGGAGAACCTAAATGAGAAGGACCGATCCTCTGTTTCATAATGCGAGGGGATCCAGATGAACTTCTTGGTGACAGTGGTGGTGCACTGCCTGCTGGAAACATAGAAGGCAAAGTACTGCCTGCAGTGGCATGTGGACTAGAAGAATTTCCCTGAACATTCAGGGGCCTACCTGCCTTTGCTTCAGTTAGCAGTTGTGTCACCTGCAACCATAAAGTCGGGAAAATGAAAAAAACTGTCATGCATCCGAAAAGATGAAACAATATGTAGTATGTAAATCATAGGTATCCTAATTAAAAAATATATATATATAAACTTTAGCATTTCCAACAACTAATTACAAATCAATGCCTCATTGAGCTCGGATTCGATTTGAGGGCCAAAGGGGACACCTCATTGAGCTGCAACAGCTCGGCGTCAAACGACGCCGCTTCCACCACGATTCCCATAGTCATCGGACGCATATACAGATCACGGAACCCTAGATTCGGAAATTCGAATCCCCCCAAAGCTCTTTCCTTTCTATTATAATATTCGTTTCAAATCAATGCCTTTTTGCCCGATTCGAAGAGAAAAAAAAAAGGTGAGATTTGAAGTGGAAGAAACCTCAGATCCTTGAGGAACTGGAGTGTTTGGCGAGAGAGAAAACGGGAGAGAAAGTGAGGGAAAATGAGAGAAAATCCTTCGGCGATTGATGCTCAGAAGAGAGAGAGAGAGAGATTTGTAGAGAGAGAATAGCCATAGCAGCTCCAAAATTTTACACAAGAGAAGAAGAGTCGAAGAAGGTGGATACGTGTCAGTGTGACATTGGCCCAAAACTGGATCATCTACGGCCAGCATCATTACTTTTTCCTGCAACTTATTGCAACAAAGAATAAAAAACTTCCACGTAGTTCTTTTTTAAATTAATTTACCATTTTGTTCCAACATCGTATAAAGCTGTCATTTTCCCTAGGGTTTTCTTTTTCCCTTGGATTTTCTCGGGAAACAAACAGAAAATATGGAAGGAGAGGAGCTGCGTCGTTCCGAAGCAAACACGGTCGATCTTCTGAATCAATTCGAACGTATCTTGGAATCCGATCCCCAAATGTAAGTAATTCGTACTTGTATGTTAGTAGATAATCAGTGATTGCAGGTTTAGCTTCTCTGTTTTCAGTAAAGACGCAGACTTTGTGTTCGGTGAAATGCCACTAGAGTTTTGTATATATAGGTTTTATTCGTGCTTGGTTGGTGAACCTTCACAAAGTGTAATTTCCGTGTCGAAAAGTACAGATATTTGATCCCGCATGAGTTGATCCATGCATATGTAAAAGTAACAGCTTGATTTTACTTGGATTCATATTTTTTTGGAAAATGTCCATTCAGTGTTAGTTCAAATTCAAAACGTGGATTCAGTGTTAGTTCATTACTGTTACTGAGGCTGGGATTTCGATAACGGTCCAAGTATGCCTTATTCTTATGCTAAGTTTTTGAATTTGGTGTGTGTGTGTAATTGTGGGTGCATTATGATTTTGTGTAGAGGTGCTCTCTTTTTTTTTTTAATTTTGGAAGGGTTCTCAGTTATATTTTTGGAATATGTAGTAATGCCGTCGTCTTATATATTGTTCTTTCCTCTTGATTGAACCCAAAGATGAAGTGGGATTTCTTCACCCGTCCCAGTTTTCCAAGCTGAATAAAGAGGCAGGCCATTCCTCACCCTCATCTGATGACAACGGTGCTGCGCTCAGCTGCTGGCAACTCAGTTTTTTGGAATAGGGATCATAAGTTGGGGATTTCAACGCAAGTTCTTTTTCGGTTGTATGAGGCTGCTAAGCATGCGTTTATGGCAGCAAGTAGACAATATAAGGCACTTAACAGCAGATCAGATGTATCTGGGGATGAGAAGTCTTTGTATGTGTCATTATCTTTGGATAATAGTTTTGAAAGTGACGTCATGAAGCATAGCAGGGCACTTTTGTTGCTAAGTAGTGATTTCGGCACTGCATGGCATTCCAGGTTTTCCCCCTTTTCATTTTCGGTTCAGTAGTACTTTGTCCTCTCTCTTATACTTGTTCTAACATAATTGTTTTAAAATAGTAGCAGATATGCATGTGAAGCAACGGTCCTTAGTAGTGTCATGTTCTTTGGTTTCTTGATATGGAGATTCATCTATCTTCCTCTAGAGTTTTTGATGTGCAATTATTTACTATAATTATATATCAATAATTTTGGATCTTCTTGATCTTGTCTGCTTTTCAATTTATGTCATGACGCCTACTTGATCTAGTATATGTGATGCAGGAAGCTCGTTGTGTCACAGAAGCATAAGCTCTCAGCATTTTTGGATAAACAACATGTGTGGTTAATTGTTTTGCCATCTTTGTTCTCATTTTTATTCTTTCTATGCATGTTTTTGATTGCAATTTAACAACTGATTGTAGAAACTTTTGTCTTTGTATGTTGATGCTTCTTAATAGTGGTGGTGCCGTGCATATTCTTGGTTAAATTAATCGAGTACATCCGTAATTTGGAATAGTTCTTTTCTAAATTGGCAAGAATTTTTTCAGTCGAGGAGATTGTTGGATACTTCTTCTAATTGGATCAATGGAAGCGATAGCCATTGATTGGTGGTATCTTTTGGCAGGATTACAAGGACTTTGTTGTGGATGGGATTTAAACAGAACCTTTCAACTTGATTAACGAGGAGAACGAAGTAGGTTATTTTAATGCAGATGGAAAGTATATTACATATGCCATTAAAAATGAAGTCAAGGTAAACATGTTTATCATTTTTGGCAATAAGCATGATTATAATTCTTGGGTAGTTAATGCTAGAGTGTTTATCGTACAATTAGGTTCTTGGAGGTTACTGATGATTTGCTATGCGTGTAGAGCATAAAATATTATTTTATACCGAAGCTTTCATCTCTCTAATTAAATTCAGTTGAATTAAGTAATTCAGTCGATTACTTAATTCAGTAAAAGAGACAACCAAAGAACAACGTGGAGGTGGAGTCAAATACATAATCATAGAATCAGAAACTAAGGTAATCTTTATGCATTTCGTTTGATTTATTTGAATAGGATGATTTATAACTGTTTCAGTATTATGTTTCTTCGTATGCAGATTACCATATGTATTTGAGAGCACAGCTGATGTAAGTTCTCTCTTTATGCCTCTATCTCTCTGTGCATTGATCTGTTTTCTGTCAATTTTATTCTTCTGTATGCATTATGTTTATGAGTGTGTGTTGCTCAGTCTCCAATGATTATTTATATTTTCCGAGGGTATAATGGGAGGAAAAATCCATTCAACCTCCACCAAATTGTAGGGAATCCAATTAAGATGCTTAAGATGCTTAAGCTTTGAAAATTGCAGATTTATAAACTATGAGTAGAGTTTCCGGGCAATATAGTCATTTCTTAATGGACAATGAATAATTAAGGTTTGAAATCGAAAAGTAGATTGCAAATGTCATTCGTGATGAAAAACCTACAGGAACATTAGTTCTTAGCATATGTGAAACATGTGTGAATTTTAATCACAAAGTGCAGTTGTACTCGAAACTGAGATAGTGACGTTTAATTGTTCTCCTATGGGATGTGGTTGATCTTACCCTTTATATGTTTAATATTATATATACTTAGTTGAGTTATTTTTTCCTTTTGGGATTCAGGGCCATACACTATTGATCCCTCAAATTTTTTGCCATGAAGCAAAATGTGGTGACTCGCTCAGACAGCTGACTCCTTTTCAATAGAAGGGAATAGCAAAACTAACCCAGCTGGGAAGTAACTTTCACCAATCACTGTCTTGGCACTTTTACTTAAGTGAATACATTGTTGTTTATTCTGGCCATCTTTCCAAGATCAAGCCCATTGCTCAGTTGGATAAAGTTTGCATCCTCAGTTGTGCTGTATCGACAGGTTTGGATTTTTGGGTGCCGCTCTCATGTAGCAAAACAAAAAAATTTCTTCAGTTGCTGTTTATTGGCCTTGCTGTAAGTTTGGACAAATTTTGTTGATCCCATATTCTTTATTCTAATAAATTGCATTTATTTTCTCTTCCGTATTCTAATAGATAGCATCTCTATCTTTTGAACAGTGAGCAATTGGACACTGCCAACTTTTGATAATTATGATCACTGTCAACCTCTATCTTAGGTATAGAAATCTAGCTTTAATAAATTATGTTTTCTGTATGTACATATTATCAAAACATTACGCGCAGGCACTGTTGCTAGCTTTCATCTAAATCAAAATTTGGTCCAAACCAAATCAAATTTTGCAGTAGGATATTTTCAAACTAGCCCTCTTGAAGTTGTTTTACAAGTGGTGTACAGTGTACTGGACTGTTCCTATAAATTGAAAAATCTCTCATCATTGTGTGAACCATAAGGTACCGTGTAGAATTTGGCGTTAAGGTAGAATAAAAAGGACGCCTCATAGAATTTAGGGTGTAGAACCACAAGTCAACGCCGTGTATAATTTGGCATTATAGTGGAAGAAAAAGAGCACCTCGTAGAATTTAGGGTGTAGGACCACAAGTCAATTTACCAAGACTCAAGTCTTCAGTCAACTGCGCCGCGTAGGCGGGTTTATTAATTATAAGAAGAAGAAAGTAGTTCCGGTAGAAAAAATGAAAATCAATATCAAATATCCATGTGAAGGAATAAACCATTGGATTATAAAATTAAGGTTTGAAATATAGTCATTTCTTAATGGGCAATGAATAATTAAGGTTTGAAATCGAAAAGTAGATTGCAAATGTCGTTCGTGATGAAAAACCTAAGGAACATTAGTTCTTAGCATATGTGAAACATGTGTGAATTTTAATCACAAAGTGCAGTTGTACTCGAAACTGAGAGAGTGGCGTTTAATTGTTCTATGGAATGTTGTTGATCTTACCCTTTGTATATACTTAGTTGAGTTATTTTTTCCTTTTGGGATTCAGGGCCATACACTATTGATCCCTCAAATTTTTGCCATGAAGCAAAATGTGGTGACTCACGCAGACAGCTAACTCCTTTTCAATAGAAAGGAATAGCCAAACTAACCCAGTTGGGAAATAACGTTCACCAATCACCGTCTTGGCACTTTTACTTAAGTGAATACATTGTTGTTCATTATGGCCGTCTTTCCAAGATCAAGCCCCTTGCTCAGTTGGATAAAGTTGGCATCCTCAGTTGTGCCGTATCGACAGGTTTGGATTTTTGGGTGCCCCCCTCATGTAGCAAAACGAAAAATTATCTTCAGTTGCTGTTTATTGGCCTCGCTGTAAGTTGGGACAAACTTTGTTGATCCCATATTCTTTATTCTAATAAATTGCATTTATTTTCTCTTCCGTATTCATACTGATACATGCATGATCTTGGCTACTGAAGGTGCAAGATTTCTGGGGCGCCACTGAGTATTGGGGTGGAGTCGGGTGGACTTGAATCCCAAGAGGTTTGACAAAGGTAGATATAATTTTTTCCCATTTTGATTTACCATGGTTTAACAGGTAGTTTAGTGAGAAAATCTAGAAATAGAATTTTGCTTATAACTTTTCTTTCCCTGGTGATAACTAAGAAATTCGGAGTAAATTGACTTGTGAATTCGAATGACAATGACAAATCAGTGCACGAGATGAAAAATGATTCACCATTCTTATTATGCGTGGGACATGAATCAACATAGATAGTTAAGTAGTAACTTTGACTTTATATTTTTATTTTCTTTCTACTTTTCATCTACCCAAGTCTACAATGCATATGCGACTAAGGAAAAGACCAAGACATCAACCAGTGCAGAAGCTCCTGATAGGACTAATTGTAGACAGCTCTGAAACTACCTCTTCTATTCAAACGTGGAGGAGAGAAACTCCACCACGTTTGATGCAAAGCAGTTCGTCTCAAATTGCAACTTCCTCGGTTTCTCAAATCTCAACGATCAATCTGCAGTGTCCCTCAAGCGGTTTCTCTCAAACTCTTACAATTTGCATTGTGTTTCTCTCCCTACACTCTCATCAACACTATCACTGCTCTCTTAGATGAGCACTACAAATTTAAGCCTGATGCTGGTATGTGATTTCCACTCCATCTCATCTCTTATTTCAAATTTTACGGTAATTTTCAAACCTTTTGTACAATCAGGTAAATCTCCATATAATTGAATAATAGAGATTTTTTTTTTTTTTGTCTCTCTTTTTTAGCTCCTTCATCAATTCATTGGCTACGTTTGACTTAAGTAAATGGGAAATCATTAATTGGTACGGATCAAGATATATTTCTTTTGTGTTTTTGGATTATTTAAAGGGATGTGCAAATAGATGGGAACAGTGGAATTCATTTTGATAAAAACAAAGAGAAAATAACCTTGCTGGATTATACTTCTTGGTTAAATAGATTGACAAATTTAGTTTTTTATATGGAATTCTTACTAATTCCAATTCGTAATATATAGCAAGAGAAAAATCATGGGCAAAGCAAAAAAGAATAGGCACCAATTCAACAGCATGGTGGCCAAGAAAAAGGATGGCCATTCCCAAACAAGCAAGACCAGAGATTGAACAGGAAAAACATAAACACAACAGATGTGCGGTGCCAACCTTCTGATATGGACATATGTATATTTTCGTATTTGAACAATGAGCAGTTGAAGACTGCCAATCTTTCGATACTATGATTATTTTGAGTACATGATACTATGAACTTATGTACATGAATTAAGCTTTTATAGCATCTCTATCTTTTGAACAGTGAGCAGTTGGACACTGCTAACTTTTGATAATTACGATCACTGTCAACCTCTATCTTAGGTATAGAAGTCTAGCTTTAATAAATGATGTTTTCTGTATGTACATATTATCAAAACATTTTAAACACCCGCAGCAACGCGCGGACACTCTTGCTAGTTTTCATCTAAATCAAAATTTGGTCCAAACCAAATCAAATTTTGCGGTAGGATATTTTCAAACTAGCCCTCTTGAAGTTGTTTTATAAGTGGTGTACAGTGTACTGGACTGTGTTCCTATAAACTGAAAAATCTCTCATCATTGTGTGAACCATAAAACACCGCGTAGAATTTGGCGATAAGGTGGAAAAAAAAGGGCGCCTCCTGGAATTTAGGATGTAGGACCACAAGTCAATTTACTGTGTCTAATTTGGCTTTATAGTGGAAGAAAAAAGAGCACCTCGTAGAATTTAGGGTGTAGGACCATAAGTCAATTTACCAATACTCAAGTCCACAGTCAACTGCACTGCCTAGGCGGGTTGATTAATTATAAGAAGAAGAAAGTAGTTCCGGTAGAAAAAAATCAATATCGCCAAACAACCTTCAATTTGCCTAAAGAAATTGAAGGCAATGGATAACTGGTCGAGCTTAGGGAAGCTGTTAATTATGGTGCTGGTGTTACAGTCCTACCACTATGCACATCGCAATTCCGGTCTTGTTTTTGATGTCCTCATCTTCCTCCTCTGCTCCCTCGGCCTCGTCTTTCGCCAAATGAATATCTCCGTCCCCGATAAAACCTCGTCCTTGTCCTCGTCCTCCTCCTCGCCCTCATCCTCAACGTCCTCCTCCACCTCCTCACCCTCAATCTCATCCTCATCGTCCTCCTCCGCCTCCCCGTCCTTGTCCTCCTTCTCAAAAGGCTCGCTCTACGAAGTGTTCATAAGCTTTAGAGGCGAAGACACACGTAAAAACTTCACGGGCCACCTCTACGAAGCATTGACAAAGGCCGGAATCAACGCCTTTATTGACGACGAACTAAGAAGAGGAGAAGATATAACTAGCGAACTTGTGCAGGCAATCCAAGGTTCTAGGATCTCTATCATCGTCTTCTCAAGACGGTACTCGGACTCCAGTTGGTGTCTTGAGGAGCTGGTTAAGATCATGGAGTGTAGAAGAACGCTAGGGCAATTAGTTTTGCCAATATTCTATGACGTTGATCCTTCGCATGTCAGGAAACAGACTGGTAGTTTTGCACAATCGTTTCTGAAACATACAGATGAAAAAAAGGTAGAGAGGTGGAGAGCTGCTCTTACTGAAGCTTCGAATTTGTCTGGCTGGGATCGCAGAAACACTTTGGACGGGTACTTACTAATTTCTTTTCTTATGAATTAAGGCTTTAACGTACCTTTGCTTGTTAATTTGGAATCATGCGATTTCTTAGACCTCTGTAATAAAATCATACAATAAAGCTTAAACTGTTAAGGCTACACTAATCACAGCTGGGAAGCCGCCGGCGACTGGCTGCGGAGGGAAGGGATGCTGGTTTTTTTGTTTGTGTTTCTTATTTTAATTTTAATTGATGTTTGCTAAGTTTAAACACACCACCTCAAAAAAAATTGTCTTAATTAAAATCTCTAGCATGATAAATAATTTTGTTTATTAATTAGTTCAATTTCGTTGTATAACAATCTTTGTTTTGCTTCTCAACTTGACTAATGCCAGGCATGAAGCAAAGTTTATCAGAATGATTACCAATGACGTCATTACGAAGTTGAACAACAAATACTTCGACGTAGCGCCCTATCAAGTCGGAATAGATACTCGAGTGCTGGATATCAATAATTATTTAGGCATCGGAGATTCATATGATGTTCGTGTGATCGGAATTTTGGGCATGGGTGGAATAGGTAAAACAACGATTGCTAAAGCCATTTATAACAGATTTTATGAAAGGTTTGAAGGTAAAAGTTTCCTTGAAAAAGTGAGGGAAAAGAAACTAGAAAAATTGCAAAAACAACTTCTTTTCGATATCTTGCAAACCAAGACAAAGGTAAGCAGTGTTGCTGTAGGGACCGCCTTGGTAAGGGAAAGATTTCAACGCTTAAAGGTACTTGTCATAGTTGATGATGTAGATGATGTGAAACAGCTACGCGAATTAACTGGAAATTGCCACTCTTTTGGCCCGGGAAGCAGAATCATCATCACAACTAGAAACGAACGTGTGCTAAAAGAATTTGCAGTTGAAAAGATATATCGGGCGAAAGTAATGGCCCAAGAAGAAGCTCTTGAGCTCCTAAGTTGGCATGCTTTCAGAAGTAGTAGTTGTCCTAGTCAATATCTTGTGCTTGAAAGAGAAGTTGTCAATTACTGTGGAGGATTGCCGCTGGCTCTTGAAGTTTTAGGATCTACTCTTTTCAAACGAAGCGTAGATGAATGGAGAAGTATATTGGATGAATTGAAAATGATTCCTCGTGGAGAAATTCAGGCACAACTAAAAATAAGCTACGACGGGCTAAATGATAATTACAAGAGGCGGATATTCCTCGATATAGCTTGTTTTTTTATCGGAATGGACAAGAACGATGTCGTGCAAATCTTGGATGGTTGTGGCTTTTATGCAACAACAGGAATCGAGGTCCTCTTTAACCGGTGCCTTGTGACTATTAATAGAGAAAACAAGATTATGATGCATGATTTGCTTCGGGATATGGGCAGAGATATCGTGCATGCAGAAAATCCCGATTTCCCTAGAGAACGGAGTAGATTGTGGCATCCTGAAGATGTAAATGATGTATTGATAGACAAATTTGTAAGTACTTTCCCAATCAAACTTTATGTTAAACGTGTAAGCATATGTAAGTTAGTAATCTAACTTTTTTTCATGCAAAGCCTTCTCTTATTTAGAGTCTGTTTTTTCGGATAGCAGGGAACTGAAAAAATTGAAGGTCTGGCTTTGAATTTGCCAAGTCCTGAAGAGACTAGTTTCAGTACTAAGGCGTTTAGAAATATGAAGAGACTGAGATTGCTCCAACTAAACTACGTTCGGCTCACTGGGGGATACCAATGTCTTTCCAAAAAATTAAGATGGTTGTGCTGGCATGGATTCCCATTGGAGTTCATACCAATAGAACTGTGTCAACCAAACATAGTTGTTATCGACATGCAGTACAGCAGCCTCAGACAAGTTCTTTGTGAGTATCTGGGGTAAGTACAATGCGTAACCTGAACCAAATTAGGAATTATTTTTATGCTCTTTGTATCTTCTTTTTGGACTTAAATTTTTTATTTAAATTTGATTTTTCTTAACAGTTGCTTGATAAGTTGAAGATTCTAAATCTCAGCCACTCCCACGATCTAACACAATCGCCAGACTTTTTGAAATTCCCAAATCTTGAGAAATTGATACTCAAAGACTGTAAGAGGTTGGCTAAAGTTCACAAGTCCATCGGAGATCTCAAGAGTCTTGTGTTGGTGAATTTGAAAGACTGTGAAACGCTTAAGGCTCTTCCGAGGAGTTTCTACAAGTTGAAATCTGTCAAAACTCTTGTTCTCGATGGTTGTTCAAGATTCCAAAGCTTGTCTGAGCACTTGGGAGAAATGGCATCATTGGTCACTCTTTATGCAAATGGGACGGCCATAAAAAAAGTACCACCTTCCATCGTACGACTAGAGAAGCTCGAGCTCTTATCTTTGAGTAAATTGAAGTGTTCTTTGCAGCTACCTTCCTTACAAGGTTTACGCTCTTTGACAAGCTTAATTTTGGCGGACAGCAATATAGAGGAAGTGCCTAATGATATTGGGAGTAGTCTACCTTGTTTAGTGGAGTTATGTGTAGATGACAATAATTTTGGGAGCCTTCCAAGCCTCAGTGACCTCTCCAAGCTTCTTATATTATCCTTGAACGGTTGCAGAAACCTTGTCGAGATTACAGATTTACCAAAAAGTTTGGGTTTCCTGCACATGGACGACTGCTCTGTATTAGAAAGAATGCCAGATTTTTCAGGCATGTCGACAACGGTGGTTCTCTTTTCCCCGAAACTCATTGAGTTTCCAGGCTTGGATAGTGCGTTAAACTCGGGACTCACACTTTTTATGATAACACACAACAATGTCATAGATTTCCTTCTTAAGGATAGCACGCTACAGGTACTCTCTCTCTTCCACACCACCCCCCTCTCCTCCCTCCCTCGCAAATATGTGTGTATGTATGTATTACTCACACAAATCTTGTTCCACATGGTATAGGGATGGACAGGAGGTGGAACTATAACTCTTGTAGGAAGACAAATTCCCACTTGGTTCAATCATGTCAACGAGGGTACCCAAGTCTCTTTTGAAGTGCCTAAGGAAATTGGTTGTAATGCAAAAGCGTTGGCTGTGTGCCTGGCTTTTGTTCCTCGTGATTACGTCAGCTCGTGTTATATTTATGTTATTAATCACACCAAGGGTACCAGTTTTTGTGTCGAACTAGGAGATGTTTTTTTCATTGAAGAGATCATTTGGCTGGCAAATCTATCATTGTCGGAAACCGAGTTCAATTTGGAAGAAAGCGATTTGGTCCATGTTATTGCACATTTTCCGGTGAAGAAAATAGGGGTACGTTTAGTATGCGACAAACTTATGAATTTCGAAGGTTCGTTATTAGATTACCATTATATCCCTTACGAACGGGCCTTAGAAGAAATTTCTACCGAAGTTGATGATTTTGATGAGGATTATGAAGATGATGATTTTGATGAGGATGATGACAACA